TCTCCTCTCTCCTCTCTCTCCTCCTCTCTCCTCCTCTCTCCTCCTCTCTCTCCCTCTCTCTCCCTCTCTCTCCCTCTCTCTCTCTCTCTCCTGTTGAAATTATTCCCAAAATCAAAATCTTTTCTTTAATTGGTCAATAGAAAAATAATCAATATCAGAATATAAGCCCTAATCTTGTGTTTATCAGGCACACAATTTCCTGTATACACCACAATTATAGTTCGCCTGGGAGTGAACATTAGCAAAATAAAGTTGACTTCAAATTGTTGTCATACATACTTCCCAAAAACAGGTTGGGACAGTTCATCCTCATTTTGGTACAATGGAAATTATTTTTGAGACAGGAGGAAAAGTTAATTTCGGGCCTGTCTAGCCATTCAAACTTGATCTGACCATTGTTATTTTTTTTAGTGGAGTTCCAGCCCTTTGGCGGAATGGCGGTCGCCCTGCCTCCTACCCAGGATGCTTTGCAGGTCCCGTCGTCGGTGATGACTCCCATGTCGATAATCGACCGCCTTGTTGCGAGCATGCCGTGTAACCCCACCATCGGTAAGCAGGCTACTCACCATGACAGTTACACTAGAGGTGAGGCTAAACATCAGGTTATAGCTAGTACCAGTGACTATCATGAAAGTTCATCTGTAACTTGGTAATTTCATGATCAGGGCTCGAAATTCATTTTTGGGAAAAAATTAGGTGCACAAAAAAAATTTGGGTGCACCATATAAAACAAAATTTAATTACAAATCTTACTGCTCCTCTTCTGAGCTTGAATCTTAAATGGGAGCTAACTTCAGAATCTTTTAAAAACAAGTACTACAACAAAATTTTCATTATTTTTCTGACCCTTAGATTCCAAGAATATCCTGCATACTATTATACATTTGATAAGTACAAATATTTGGGTGAACTGGTGCACCCACAGAAAAAAATTGGGTGCACAGCTCCAATTTTGGGTGCACTAAGGTGCACATGCACCCAGTATTTCGAGCCCTGATGATTGTTTAAAGTTAGAAATTTTTATCTAACACAAAAAAGTTCTCTCACCTAGAGCTTTCGACCAGTCACTCTGGTCTTCCTCAGTAGACTGGCCCAGTGAAGCTTGTCACGTGGCTTCTTTGAAGTGTGACGTCAACACTGGGTCAAAGGTATCTGGGTCAGTCTACTGAGGAAGACCAGAGTGACTGTTTGAAAGCTCTAGGTGAGAGAACTTCTTTGTGCTGGATCTTAAATTTTAACTTTAAACATATAGTACTAGAGATGTATAAAAACATAGTGCTTCTTGCTTTTTTTTATTAGAATTATTTTTTCAGGGTTCAAAATACTGCAAATACACATGGATGCATGTAATGTTTATCTGGTAAACCTATGATAAGCAGAGTAGTATACGGTATATTCTTGACAATTAACTTTCAGAAAAAATGATGGAACTTTAAAGTTTAATGTTCATGCTTCTTTAGAATTCAGTTAAAAGTTAGCTATGAGATTTCATCTTCAGATTATACAGTCGTAAGAGAGATCTGTAATTAGCTTGTTTTATGTTTGCATCCAATTTTTTTTTAATCTTAAGGTAAGGTGCACCAAGGCAGCTATTCCAATGAATTTTCCAGCCCTTTTTCTGCACAGTGCTTTGTGCCTATTTCAAATGGTTGGTTTGACTTTCCGTAGGACTGGACTTTGTTCACTCATCTGGACCAGACCCCCTGCAGAGCCAGCCGGCGTCCTACTTCACGACCGCGTACGATCGGCGCCGGAACTACCGACAGAACCAGGAGCGCGACGCACCGTTCCCCCCGCCGTATGGACTGCCTCACGGGGACCGCGGTGGTTACGTGGACGGCAGGACGGAACAGAACCTGTACCACAACCCTCTGGACAGGAGCTCCTACAGTTACAGTCAGATGGACAGGGGCAGCTACGAACCTGTGTTTGGTAAGTTTTCAAGGCTACAAACCTTTGTTTGTAAGGCTATACCAATTTAATTTGTTGGTTCTCAGATTTTTTTTGGAAAAAATGTGAAGCGACAGAGCAAAAAAAAACAGGTCTATATATATATATATATATATATATATGCATCCTACTATAGCCCAAAATGCTATGATAGGAGCTATAAGGTCAACACAAAAGGCTGGGTTGATATATAAACAATGAATTTTGAACTTTTAATCAAACCACTGCCTTGATAGATGGGAAAACTGTAGGAACTAGGAAGAAAGGGACTTTCCTTGACTGTTGGGGGAAACATATGAGCATTTTTAGTTGATTCAGAACCAGAATCTTTTTTTTTTTTTTTTCAAATCAGAAAAAAATGAAGAGGTGAATCTGAGAACCAACAATTTAAATTGGTGTAGCCTTTATAATACTGCTAGACACTTGTTTTTGGTCAAGCAAAGTTTGATTCTGTGCAGGATTTAGAGAAAATGTGTGTGTTGTATGGAGTTCTTACTTTTTTGTCCTCACAATTAAAGCTCATTTTGCTGCTTTTCTTCAGGAGGAGGCGGATTCAACCACATGTACGATCGCCATGGTAACTCGCGCTCCCCGAGCCCCAGTGACTCGGACACGAGCGGCGTCAGCAGCAGCACAGGGTCAATGTCACCTGAGGACACTCTCTCCTCACTTGTGGTACGTGTCCATGGCAACAGTCAGTTGCTTTTGCAAGCTGTTCTTTGATTGGTTGGTTTGATGAGATGCTTTTGTTAGCTTACTGTAATAGGTCAATTTGATTTGTTGCTTTTGTAACCTGTTCTGTGATTTGGTCAATTTGATAGGATGGTTATGTTAGCTGTACTGTGATTGGTCAATTTGATATGTTGCTTTTGTAAGGTGTCTTGTGATAGGTCAATTTGATAAGTTGCCTTTGTAAGGTGTCCTGTGATAGGTCAATTTGATATGTTGCTTTTGTAAGGTGTACTGTGATTGATCAATTTCATAGGTTGCGTATGAAACCTGTCATGTGATTGGTCAGTTTTCTAGGTTGATTATGGTAGCTGTCCTGTGATTGGTCAATTTGTGTCAGGATGCATTTGTAAGGGGTACTGTGATTGGTGAATTTGATATGTAGCTTTTGTAAGCTGTTAAATGATTGGTCAATTTGATAGGATGTTTATAAAAGTTGTACAGTAGTGATTGATCAATTTAATAGGTCACTTTTGTAAGCTGTACTGAAATTCGTCAACTTGAGGAAAGTTTTAATAACTTGTTAGAGATTGTGTCTTGAGTGGGAACAAAAGGTGACGAAAATGCAAGAGGGAAACATACTGCATTTGCCTGCAAATATGCTTTTTTCTAAAACTGATGTTTCCCTCTAGAAAGCTTCATTTTTCGTTCAAGTTCTGTGTTTGTGTGTTTTTTTCATGTTGATACTGTAATTCCTGATTTTTTTCACTGTACTCTTATGTTTACTGTATTCACTGTCACTTCTATACCGTGAACTTATCATTACCATTATCATTAACAAATAATTCCTGGACTTTTTTTTCCTGCACCTGTCACCACCGTAAATATATAGTTCTGTGAACATGTCTATTTTTCTCAGACCGTGAAATTTTGCTACCGTGATCATAAAGTGAATTACATTTTTTTTCTTGTAGGGAGGTCTGAGCCTGGATTCTAACCCTCGCAGTCCCATGCGACGCCATTTTGACCCACACATCAGTTTCTATGGCAACCAGTTGCCCTCCAACGACCTTGACAGTCCGATCGGTGTGCCCTCCGGGGCCAGTCTCCTGTCGGACCGGCGCTGGGCCGGCGCCAACTGGTTCAACGATCCGTTCAGGATCGAACGAGATGCCAGGATGTATCGCAACGCTGCTGGTGAGAAAAAACCATCCTCACTTCATGTATTACTAAGAAAACCTCAAATATGATGCAAATTTGAAGGAGTTGCCAAACAAAAAACAATGAAAATATTTCAATATTTACAGCTCTTGAAGCAGCTTGTTACCCTCAACAGTTTTTGTGAGAGACTTAAAAACGTTGTTTGTACATAGTGTGTGATATCTGTAAATAGTTTCATCAGATGGTATTAAGTCATTGAGTTACACAACCAAGTGTTTGACGTTTCAGTGACTGTCTGTCACCTTCCTCAGGGCAGTTCTAACTGGTTCACATTGCACTGCAGTACGTTTGGGAATGCATCTATAGCAGCAACACCTGTGATGCAGTGCAATGTGAACCAGTCAGAATTGCCCTGAGGAAGGTGACAGATAGTCACCAAAACGTCGGCTGAATAAAACACTTTGGTTGTGGAAAAAAAGAGCTTCTTTACTTAGCCATATTTTGTTGTGAGACCGTAAAACTTTGTTGTTCTACTATGATCATGAAAGTTCATCTTTGTGGGTAAGTTACATGTTTAAAGTTAAAACTTTTAGTCCAACACAAAAAAAGTTGTCTCACCTAGAGCTGTCAACCAGCCACTCTGGTCTTCCTCAGTAGACTGACTCAGTGAAGCTTGTCACGTGGCTTCTTTGAAGTGTGACGTCATCACTGGGTCAAAGAAGCCACGTGACAATCATCACTGAGTCAGTCTACTGAGGAAGGCCAGAGTGGCTGGTAGAAAGCTCTAGGTGACAGAATTTTTGTGTTGGACCAAAAGTTTTAACTTAAAACAACTTCTCCACAGCTATGTGTGAGCCGACCTGTACCTGGAGTGGCCAGCTCCCTGTGAGACAGCACAAGTGTCCCATCTACTCTCCTAAGGTCTTCTTAGGGGGAGTTCCCTGGGATATCACTGAAGGTTAGTCACACAAAGACTTTTCTACTGGGTTTTACACATGATTGATAGGCAATTCTTATCATATTGACATTGGTTCTGAGTTTTAACAGTTAGTAGAAATTCTTCGATCAGTGACTGTATTTTTGTAAGGTAAATCACGTACCTCCAAATTTTCGGTGTCGACTGTACACCTTGATCACGAAGTGACCTAGTCTCGCGAGAACACGAGACTAGGTCGAGACTTGTGTGGATCTTCTGGCCTCCCCCGCCTCCTTGCAGAGTAGTCGACACCAAAAATTTGGAGGTACGTGATTTACCTTACAAAATACAGTCACTGATCGAAGAATTTCTACTAACTGTGAATTCTATGTGACTGATGAACCTCTTCAACGAGGTTCTGAGTTTGTTTGGACAAAATGTTCTGTTGGAATGCTTTTCAGCACCTTGGACAATACCTGTATAATTTCATAACACTATGGAATAGTTTCCAGAAAATGTTAAACCAAAATCTGTAGTTGTGTTGTTTTACTTGAATGTAAGGCCACACCAATTTGATTTGTTGTTTCTCGGATTCGCCCTGTCCATTTTTTTTCATTTGCAAAAAAAAAAGAAAAGAATTTAGGTTCTGAATCAACTGAAAAATGCTCAAAGAAAGACATATTTTGGCCCCAATGGTTGAAGAAAGTCCTTTTCTTCATAGTTTTTCAATGTAACAATGCAACTTTGTTCAAAATCTATTGTTTTAATTATAAACCAGCCTGGTATGTTGACTTCATGGCTCATATCGTAACATTTCTGGCTAACATGGGGTGCCTTGGCCTGTTTGTTTTTTTCGCCCCGTCGCTTCATATTATTTCTGTAAAAATTCAAGAAAAAACAAATTAAATTGGTGTGAAGAGGACCCAAAACTGCCTTTAAACCACTTGACAGTTGAGTCATCCTTACAAGTGTTATTGTTAACTTTACTTATAGGGAGGAATGATCTTACAAATTAGTTGTGGTGTCAGTTCCTAGCAACTTTGTTAATGTTACTCTGGATGTTTCTTTCCTCCTAGTTGGACTCCAGGCTGCCTTTAAACCGTTTGGACCAATCAAAGTGGAGTGGCCTGGAAAGGACAACAAACACCCGCGCTACCCGCCAAAAGGTGACGATTACAAAATTATTCTTTTAATGTATTACCTAAAGTTGTGGTCAAACTAGCACATTTAGCAGAAATTGTACTGCACCTGCGCGAAGCCCGTAAGGTATTTTGCATAGCACTGTGGCAGAATATCTTGTCTAGGTTTTGTTTGCATATTTTATGATGACATCCTGTCTATAGATTTTTATTGTTGTGTCAGGAAAAAAATATTATCTACAACTGGCAAAATTCTGATGCAATGTTGGCAAAATTCTGATGCAATGTTGGCCAAATTCTGATGCAACATTTGCAAAATTCTGATGCAATGTTGGCAAAATTCTGATGCAACATTGGCAAAATTCTGATGCCACGTTTGCAAAATTCTGATGCAACGTTTGCAAAATTCTGATGCAACATTTGCAAAATTCTGATGCAACATTAGCAAAATTCTGATGCAACGTTAGCAAAATTCTGATGCAACGTTAGCAAAATTCTGATGCAACATTGGCAAAATTCTGATGCAACGTTTGCAAAATTCTGATGCAACATTAGCAAAATTCTGATGCAACGTTGGCAAAATTCTGATGCAACGTTTGCAAAATTCTGATGCAACGTTGGCAAAATTCTGATGCAATGTTGGCAAAATTCTGATGCAACGTTGGCAAAATTCTGATGCAATGTTGGCAAAATTCTGATGCAAACCGGTACACAGCACTTACTGTGTCACCTAAAGTTGAAGCTGTGACTAGTTGTTGTCCAACCCTGAGTCCTATCCTGGCCTTTGCCCCTCCCCAGCAGGTTACGTGTACGTGCTGTTCGAGTCAGACAAGGCGGTGAAGGCCCTGCTCCAAGCCTGCACTCATGACTTCAGCCATGGAGGGGAGTACTTTTACAAGATCTCATCCAGGCGTATGCGATGCAAGGAGGTCAGTGTTCTTTTCGATCTATTTTTGGTGCAGGCTTTTAGGTAGGATTTTTTTGTTGGTTGTCCATTTTTTTATTGTATGCTATGTACAGCAAAGATGTGTGGTGCCCGAGCTTTTTAGAGGGACTTTTTTGACATTCGTAATGCTCTCAAACACCACTTTCTGCATTTTGGGGTGCAAATTTTGAGGAATTGAGTTTTTTTCTTTTCTAGTAAACCATCATTTTTGTATTTATAGTAAGGCTGAAGTCAACATACCAGGCTGGTTTAGTGAAACAAAGTTGCATTGTTACATTGGAAAACTTTAACAACTAGGAAGAAAAGGACTTTCTTCAACCGTTGGGGCCAAAATATGTCTTTCATTGAGCATTTTGCAGTTGATTTAAATTAGAACAACGAAAAAAATGTCTTTTTTTTTTTTGCAAATCAGAAAAAAATGGACAGGGCAAATCCAGAGAAACAACAAATTAAATTGGTGTGGCCTTGTGGCTTCATTTTATTTCTAAAAAGAATTTGAAGAAATTCCTAAATAACTGTTCTTTGCTTGTTAACGAACAGGTACAGATCATACCGTGGGTGACATCGGACAGTAACTACGTACGCTGTCCGTCCCAGCGACTGGACCCTGGGAAAACCGTGTTTGTTGGGGCGCTGCACGGGATGCTGAACGCCGAGGGACTCGCCAACATCATGAATGACCTGTTCGGAGGAGTGGTCTACGCTGGGATTGATACAGACAAACACAAGTATCCTATTGGTGAGAGACTTTCTTTGCAAGATGGTCTTGTGGTTAGGGTTGTTGAATCAGAATCTAAAGGTTTATTTATTCACATATATTTATTGAGTATGAGGCAAATATATGAAACCTTCATACTCAAAAACATACAAGGAGTGTAAAACACATTGACAAGATACATGCATACAAGATAAATACAAACAAGTCACAAGTTGGTGGTTTATCAATTACGAGAATCTACCCGTACAGTAAATGAAGTTTTGGACTACATCAAAAACATGACAGTTTTGTAGGTGTGAGAGTGATGTGGACCCTCAAAGTAGTAAGGAACATAGGGAACTGTCATTGAGGTGCTGTAGCTCTACTATGTTGGAGAGAGATGATAACAGTGTACTTCTTTGACTAGAATAAAGTTTACAATGTAGAAAGAAGTGCTCAGTTGTTTCACTATGATAGCCACATTTACATGTACTGTACAGGGTTCGAAATCCTTTTTTTCAGGTACGTGCAAAATTGCACATTGGCAAAATTTTTAGGTGCAATTTGAAAAATTTATGTGCAAAATTATATTTAGCCTTGCATCTTTAGGTTTGGAACTGTTTTACTGTGTATCAACCTTCTTAGCCTGCCACTGCATATAGAAGTTTTAGTATACATTAAAAAGAAGGAACCAAACAAAACATGAACAATGCAAGTATCATCTGTGTTTATAAAAAAAAGACCACAAAATAAATTTGTCGGCATTAGCTTCAAAGGACGCCGCTAGTGACCCCCGGCCCTCTCACTCATCATAAAAAAAATTTACCAACAGTATGCGAGCACATTTATTTTGCATATTTACCTTGAATATCGTGCACGATATAAGGAAAAAAATACTGCTTAGAAAAAAATAACGTCCGGTTAATTTTTGCTTCTTGGCGCTCCCCTCCCCCTCCTCTGGGGGCGCGTCGTCAACATCGGCCGCGGGATCCTCGGAGACGGTGGACCCGGTGGCATCTCCCGATCCACCGCCCCCGGCTGCACCAGCCTCTGGTCCACTGCCACCGGCTGCACCAGCCTCTGATGCCGGCTGGGCCCGTGAAAAGAACTTGAAAATCGACCCCTTCTTCATGGGCCCTTCTTCATGCTTTACAAATTTCCTGGGTAGCACTGAATGCTGGGAAATCCGAAAACTCTGTTTTTCACCGAATTTTACCGAAAATTGGACGAAAAAGCCGAAATTACTCTGCCGAAGGACTTCGTACCACATCGGGCAACAAGTTTCGTGGGTCTCACCATATTTGGTAATTCAGCTACGTAGGCCTTCGCGTCTTGCCATATTAGGTAAATCATTACGTAATGCCTTCGCGTCTTCACCTGGGGACGAGAGCAGCTTGTTCCCAGGATGTTCAGTAAAGAAAACAATATGGCTGCCATGCGCCCAGCGCGATGCCGACACAGCAAGAAACTTCGGAGATACGCAGTGCAAACATGATATATCGGTATTGTCCAGGTGCAAAATTGCACATTCAAAATATTTTTAGGTGCAAATCTTGAAAATTACATGCAATTTGCACATTGCACCTTTGTATTTCGAACTCTGCTGTAGTAATACAATAATGTTGAAATAGATGGTAGTTAAACTGACTGAAATTAAGACGGAGCCTTGTGAGATGAACAGCGGAGTGTCTTTGGCCATGAGAGAAGTGGAAGTGTTTTGTCGGTCTGTTCAGTAGTAAATCCAACTCATTTTTAAAGGTGTAAAGGTTCTGGGTTTGAATCTCTGGCAGGCCTAAGTGTTGTCCCCTTGTGGCAGACACTTATTTGATTCAGGTAAAAATGAGTACCTAGCTTTGGTTAGGGACATCCTTTTGGATGGGATGTAAAGGTAAGATGCTGTGTTTGAAGAGAGCCACACCTTGAGCGCGTTAAAGATCCCACCACACTTATCGAAAACAGTAGGGTCCATCCTCGTGTGAGTGGTTCAACCCTAACAGTATGGTCTCAGTTCACATCTTGAAAACCTGAGTCACCTCTGATGTCATTTATTATCCTTCCACCATGTGTGGTGAATCTCTATAAATGAATGAATAACTTGTCATGTTTTTCAGGGTCGGGCAGAGTGACCTTTGGGAACCACAAGAGCTACATGAAGGCCGTCCAGGCTGCTTTCATCGAGATCAAGACTCCCAAGTTCACCAAAAAGGTCAGAATCCTTCTACTTGTACTGTAGGCCTTAGGCCACACCAATTTAATTTCTTGGTTAACGGATTTTTCTAGAAAAATAATGGAGCGGGCGGGCGAAAAAAAAATACAAACAGGCCTAGGCATCCCATTATGGTAGGCCCAAAATGGTACGGTAGGAGCCATGAAGTCAACACACCAGGCTGGTTCAAAATTTAAACAATGAATTTTGAACTTTTAATGATACCACTGCATTGAAAGATGGGATAACTGTGACAGCTAGGAAGAAAAGGACTGTTTTCAACTGTTCAGGGCAAAATATGAGCATTCTGCAGTTGATTCTGATCTTTTTTTTTGCAAATCAGAAAAAAAATGAAGCTGGCAAATCCGTTAACCAAGAGATTAAATTGGTGTGGCCTTATAAAATCCTTTATTCCACCAATTTTTCATGCCAAAATTTTTGCAAAATATTGACAAAAAAACAGCAAAACCACACTCTAAACTTCAAGGTGCTGAAATGCCATCCATTGATCCTAAGCTTAGCAGTGCAGTTGTAGAAGAAAAGAAGTTTTGTGTAGGAGTAACCCCTACTTTCATGTTGTGTTTGCAAGCTAATCTGATCATATATTCAAATTCTTATATTCATCTTTTAAACATTTATGAGTATGGTAGACATTTCTACAAACTGTTAAGTGTTTTGTTGGAAATGAACTCTTATTCAAATATTTTCCTTTGGGTCTAATAAAATCCTTTATTCAACCACTTTTTCATGCCAAAATTTGGCAAAATATTGACAGAAAAACAGCAAAACCACACTCTAAACTTCAAGGTTCTGAAATGCCATCCATTGATCCTAAGCTTAGCAGTGCAGTTGTAGATGTATAGAAGTTTTGTGTAGGAGTTTCCCCTATTCTCACGCTGTCTTTGCAGGCTAAGCTGATTATATATGATCATTCTAGAGTGTCATATTCATCTTTGTAAACTTATATTCATATGGAAGACATTTCTAGAAACTTTTGATAAGTGTTGTACTCGTATTTAAATCTTTAAATAGTTTTAATCTCAAATTTAGATCTTTGAAATCTAAAAGGTGAGAATTAAGAATCCAGGTATCTGATTGGTTGATGGTTAATTGATTGACGGATTGATTGACAGGTCCAGGTGGCCCTTATTTGGAGGATTCCCTGTGCAACACCTGCAACTCCCAGCCTGTGTCTGATTGGTTGATAATTAATTGTTTGATGGGTTGATTGACAGGTCCAGGTGGACCCTTATTTGGAGGACTCCCTGTGCAACACTTGCAACTCCCAGCCAGGGCCGTTCTTCTGCCGCGAGATGTCGTGTTTCCGCTACTACTGCCGCTCCTGCTGGCAGTGGCACCACTCGCTGGACACCCTGCGCCACCACCGGCCACTCATGCGCAACAACAAGTCCCGCAGGTGGGTCAAAGTTCAGCACAACCTCGGTGTGAGACCTCAGCAGCCATTGTTTTTTTACAAAAGTAAAATTTTCTGAAAACTGTCTTCCTTTTTCCGTTTTATGTTTACCGAAGGAAAATATATTGTTTTTACTCAGTTTCTTCCTCTTCTGTTCCAAACACTAACCTCTGACCTGGCCAATGACATGATTTGTTGACGTCTGTCACCATGGTGACTGGTGTTTGGTTACATAATGTTGCAATTTCATGGTCTGCTCTGCTCCTGTCACCATATACTAGTAGTACACGTGTGTGAATGTGTTTGAGTAAGAATTAACAGAGCAGACCATGTCCGAAGGTAAACATTATGCACTTGTTTTGCAAATGTTACTTCTCTAGTTTCAAATTTTTGTTAAAAGATCTATCCTTTTTAAAAGTTGGTTTTATGCACTGAATATCTTTTGTTGTTTTGCTCGTAATGATTATAACTTTTTATGAGTATGTTTGAAATTGCTGAAATAGAGGTATTCATCTATTTTAGAAAGTTTCAGTATAGAGAATATACAATCATAAAGTTAGAAATGAGAAGCTGTGTATTTTTTATTAGTCTGATGGAAAATGTTATTCTCCTCACAGCCGTGACACAGACGACTGACCAATGAACATGTAGCAGTTGAGGGGCATTTGGAAGAGGCCACTTGATTGGTCAGTCCAAGAAGACCTCTGGCAGCTGATTGGTGCCTGTTGCTCACCGGGACATCAGCTGCTCGTTTGGCGGCAACAGATTCGTCCCGGCACCCACTACAGTTTCAAGATCAGGGAAATCAAGAGTGAAGTCAGCAGCTCGTTTGCTGCATGATTCTTTGTTGCAGTGCCTTTATATTCAAGATCAAACTATGATTATTTATTGATCAGGCAGAGCCTGGAAAGATCACATATGATTTATTTAAGATGGTTTTATATCTACCAAAGATGATGATTATGATTATACTTTCAAATGTAGTGGGTGCAAATTACTTTGATACTGCCTCTAGGAACAATTAGACATTAGTAAAATAGTTGCATTGTGGACTTTTATATAGAAGAAGCAATAAATGGTCATTTTGTTGAAGATTTTTTTTTCTTTTTGGTTGTAAATTTAAGTTAAAGATTATATTTGAGTTGATTTAAAAGTTATAATAGATGAGATTGAAGGTACATGTGCTCAAATCTTTACAGTTGAATGATATTAAGTTCATTTTTGCAACCATACCAGTATCCTAGTGAAAAATATTTCACCAGTTTTATACATTTGCTGTTAAAAAGGATTTACACTTGTGCTTCTTCAAAAGTTCAGAGTTCAACTGTCATTTGTTCAAATTAACTGCTACAGTTTTGCCATGGAACGTTTTGGAAACTTGAAAATAGGGCTCTAAGAAAACCACCCATAGGATGTTTTTATGTTGCACTTCATAGCACTAACAATAGCTTGGCAGAGCCGTTAGAATAATAAGAAGCTTTAAACTTGATGTTACATCAACAGAGGTGGACTTCTTACAGTTAAAAGGCTGTTTTAAAGAACTTTGTTTGAATCCATTTTGCAATCTCGCAGGCAAGTCACACATTTTAGACAACATGGTCACATATTGTTTTTAAATAGGGGAAAACTAGATGATCAAGGTAAAAAACAAAACAATGAATAATGATGCCATGATTTGTGGGTAAAATAATTCAGGCTTGTCACATTTTAGCTGAGCTCAGTTTTCACTCAAACTTAGGGTTAATCATTTCTTGAAAGCAAAAGTTTACGACAACACTGCTAAAAAAGAAATGGATGTTTTAAACTGGATTTACCGTAACACCTAATTTACTTACTGCAATAATTCCAATTTTTTGCAATATTTAAGTAAGATATTAGATGATGATATTGTTTTTGTATATATTTGAATTGTTGCTGGTAAGGCTTATTTCTAAGTTTTTGGATATTTTTGATGTTTTTGACGTGATATGCGGACAGATTATTTCGGTATCGGAACGGCTATGGATATGACTTATGACTTGGAGTGTCTTCGGACAACTTTGCATGAATGTTACGTATGACTGTGAACTTTTTGAAACTTTGACCAGAGATATCATGAAGGTGACACAAATTTTGCGTAGATTGGTTCAATTCGGCGGAAACGTGCTTAAAGACAAGAAGTAGTTTTAGAAAGCTGGAAGACATTTTAAGGTTGACTTTATTATAAGTATTTGAGATTGAAGAGTTTGGAGAAAAGCCCAGGTTTTTGAATAAGGATGGCTTAAAGAGATCTTAGAAAATTGGCACAAAGTCAGAGCAGAGTATGTTTAACATTGCCCTGTTCTTGTTTTTTGACATTAGCAAAGGGCGTGACAGTTTTTGTTCTACGAACTGGCCTTCATGTTTAAGTTCCAGTTTAAAACTGAGTGCTCTGCTTTGGCATTTTTTACTATTGAGCATTTAAGAGGTGAATTTAAGTAACAAAGTTCTGTTGAAGTAAACAACGGTGTTAAAGAAATGAGAGGTAATGGTGGATAGAGAGATGACACTGCGTTTCCATGCTTTATAAGCTGTTTGACTGCACTGTATGAATGTTCAAAAAGCATTGAAAAATAAAAAAAAGTTGTTCAGCTTTAATGCACTTTTTTTCGTCTTGCTTCTTGTCATTCTTTAGATTGTTAATGTTGAATAGATATAAAAAATTGAAAAATTATACCTCTGTAAGATAGTTTGACATCAATAATAAAATTGTAATAACTTTTTAAAAAATCATAATTCGTCAGCTATCATTACAATAATTTCTTGCTATTCTTAACATTATTAACATTAACATTGAATAATTAGAATATAAAAAATTGAAAAATTATACCTCTGTGAGGTAGTTTGAGATCAATAATAAAATTGTAATTAATAACTTTCCTTAAAATCATGATTCGTCAGCTATCATTACGATAGTTTGAATTGCATGCATAATCAAGGCGGTTTGAATCTCATTAAAGGCACTCTATGTAGTTTTTTGACAATACAAAAAGTATATTTTTTCATTCTTTTCTTTACATAGTACATTGACTTAACCCTTTAGTATTCCAAAATTATACTCCGCAACAAAAAATACAACATCCTTGCTCCTTAGAAGCTTAGAAAACTGTGAATGATCTTCTAGATGAATATTCAACCTCTGGCCAAACCGCACATATGGTATTGTCCACTCCCAGTGGTTTGACCTACATCCCAGTGGGGTGTCAGTTGATAGCTTACCAGTTTCTGAAATACCTATTAATCGTTTACCAGATTTTTTATCTCTTTTGAAGGGATAATGACCACAGTTTATTCATGCCACAGTTTATTCATGCCAAACAAAGTTGATAATTATATTCCACCTCATGTGAAAGATATGAGTTTTTTCTAAGGAGGCTTATCTTGTGACATCTGCCCCTGTCTCTCAAGCCTGGCATGCCGGGGCCAATTAGCCACCCTAGGGGACAACCCCTGTATGTTGTTGTTGTTGTCCTCAGAGCAAACCGGTGGCACCGAGAACAGAACAAGGACTGTTTGAACGGACAAAATATACGTAAAAATGCGAAATAATGACACAAATGTGTTGAAAAGTGATAGTAACTGTTAATAACATTGAAATTTAGTATAATTAGAATATTTAAAATTTTTCCGCAAAAAACTACATAGAGTGCCTTTAAAGTCCTTGATAAAATTGTATTTGCAGGTGCACCTGATCTGGGTTTAACATTGTCATGGATAGTATCCTTCCGCAAGTTACAAAAAAAATTCAATACCGTCGCGTAATTAAATTTTGTTAACTAAGAAAAGCTAAACTAGTATTGGGTAGGCAAATATGATAAATATTGAATATATAATACACATGGCAAAGCAGAGACATTTGTTCATCTCAAGAACTACTTTATGTCAGGAGAGGCGCAAGGACTTTACCATAATCATATGACGTGATGCGGTTTTAAAGATGGCGGCCAAAATAATCTTTTCTGTAGAATAGGCGGAGTTTTAAGCGATTTAGCTGTGTTTTATCTTTCTTTGGCAACAACTACAGCTTGAAACAGAGGTACGTGATCATTTTCATCTCCTTACTATTTGTTTAGAGGTAATAAACTTGGTAGAGCGCCGTTTTGCCGATGTTTCGTAGGCGATGTTTTGATTACGTAGGAGGGAGGGGGGCGTTACGTCGGGTGACATATGACGTTTTAATTGTATCGGACGTCGGTCGGTTTCACCAACATGATTTTCTTCTTATTTCTAGTGTATACGTTTCTTATTATATAGGTATGTCTTGTGTAGTTTCACCGATTGTACTAACTTCAAATTCGTAAGATCTGCATTCTGATTTGGTGTGCACAGACCATATTACTTTTGACAAAGTGATATAACCTTTACAAGTCTCCATATAACCTCTTTGCTTTTGCTTTCATTACGTTATACTTGCGAACATATTATATATTTGTAGCTGCTAGTAGGTTTATGAATATAACTCAGTCAAAGTCGCCAGCATTTTAATATACCATTCCTTCCAAAAATAGGGTCCAAAAACTACATATTACCATGGAGGTATAATAGAGCTGTGTACCTAAACCCACATAATAGGTTCAGGTCCGGATAAAAGTCCAGAAGTTTAGGTTCTGGACTGGTGACTCATAAGTCCAGACCTAAACCCATGGCATGTACAAAATTGTATGTTGGCAACCTTGCAATGTTGTCTGGGCAAAACTTGGGCCACATAACATGGAGGCCGGTACTTGACGATGCCCAATGGGAATGTTTTCTTCATTTTGCAGCAAAGATTTTGCACAATCTATGGAAGGTTTTAGGTGGTTTGGAAAGAAAAGGGGTATGTGACGTGTTTTATTTTTTAATAAGTCCGGAATTGGTCCAGTGAACAGGTACACAGCACTACCCATACTAGTAAGTTAATAACCAATATTATTATTATTCATACTCCAAACAGGTAAAATATGGCGTCTAACAACCTAGCAGTGCCCATTGTACTGTGGGGCCATGTTCCCCCCACCCACTGTATCTCTGCCATCCTGCTCACCAGTGACCAGAGAACTGTTGTTACAGGGTGTCATGATGGGCAGATCTGTCTATGGGACCTCAACGAAAATATGGAGGTACTGTAATTATGTTTACCGAAGGAAAACATATTGTTTTTGCTACGTTTCTTCTTCTTCTTCTTCAGTTCCAAACACTGACATCTGACCTGGCCAATGACCTGATTTGGTGACGTCTCTCACCATGGTAACTAGTGTTGGGTTACATAATGTTGCAATTTTATAGTAGGAGAGATTTATACTCCTGTCTGACCATATATGTGAATATGTTTGAGTAAGAGTTAACAGAGCAGACCATATACAAAGGTAAACATTGTGCATTTGCTTTGCAAATGTTACCTTTCTAGTTCAATTTATGTTCACGGTAGCAATATTTCACGGTCTGAGAAAAATGGACATGTTCATGGAACTATATATGTTCACGGTGGTGACAGGTGTAGGAAAAAGAAAGTCCAGGATTTTTGTTAACAGTAATGATAAGTTCACTGTATAGAAGTGACAAGGAAAACAGTGAACATGAAAATACCGTGAAAAGATCAGGAATTACAGCAGTATTTGTTAGAAATATGTCGATGAAGGTTAGACATCCAGGTAATAAGATACACCAAAAACAAGTTACTCAAGCAACTGGATATGATGTTGGAAATAGTCAGGTGTTGTACTTTAGATTCATGTCATACCTGGGCCATGATAACATTCGATACGGGTGTTCCAGCCTGTGTGATAACTAGCGTTACATCATACCCGGGCCGCGAAAACGTTCGATAACGGTGTTCTGGACCGGGCCATACTTTACGGTACAGCCTGGGTTTCCATGGCTTCCATAGAACAATTGGAACACATTTTGCCCTAACCACGTGTGCTTGTGAAAATTTGAATACAGGATTCGAATGTTGGAATTGATGTTGTTGCATTTGAGGGTTCAGGGACACCAAATTTTGGCTCATTTTGCATTTAACGGCTCGTTTTCTTGGCTGGGTATGACATAAATAAAATACAACACGGTATAGACCACATTGCCCTCAGTCCCGGCCCTCCCGTGAGTCAGATTGCCCTCCAGCTGAATACTCCTGGCGATACGGAATACCCCTTGTTGTATTCTATATGTATGGCCCGGGGTTCTATTTGCGGTTATCACACAGGATTCCAAATGTTCCATAGAATAATTTGAAATTCGTTTCTCCTGAGCCACTTGCAATTGTACCGCCATTTTTGTTCTAGCAACACCAAATTTTGGCACATTTTGCATTGAAATGTGTGGATTTTTTTGGGGGGTGGGGGTGTATGACACAAAAATACATGTACAGCACAGTATATCCAGTATTGCCCTTGGTCCTACATTTTGTAGCCCAACTGCAGAATGGAAAGTTTCTTTTTTGTTCATTTTTGCTCTTTCTCACATTGATTCTTGTCTCGTCTTTTTCCAGTTGGTTCCCAGAAACATGTTGTTTGGGCACACAGCGAAGATCACATGTTTGGCCAAGTCTACAGACACCTGGGAGAAGTGCAATGTGGTCAGTGCTGCAGAAAACGGGTCAGTTCAGCTACATTTTCCAATAAGAGGACTAACAAACTTTAGTAACTCCTCACTGCAATAATTAAGTGGGGAGAGCCTTGCATGTACTACTGGTCAAGGGTTCAATCCCAGAACCAATTCATTCTAGAGAATTTATAAATGGTACATGCTGCTTTTTTGATTTGGTAATTTGACACACACCACTGTCAGATTAGTTCCTAGCTGTAGTGCATGCATAGCTGTGTAGCCAAAGGGCTTTAGGAACAGAGATGGGCACTTCTCTATACACTATATGGATACAGATCTGAAGTATCTTGGCTGGTTAGTCAAGGACTGAGCCAATGAACTGACATCTGTTATGGCTTCCTGATTGGTCAGGAGCATTAGCCAATGAACTGACAACTGTTATGGTTATGCCTCCCTGATTGGTCAGGAGTATTAGCCAATTAGAATTACTCAACATAATTTCCTGGCCATGACACTAGTATTTTGATTTACTACTTATGACTACATGTTCAAGCGTGAAATTTTATTTTTTGTCGTCCAGAGAGCTGTGTTTGTGGGATGTTAGTGATGGAAGATGTATTGAGCACACCAAACTGTCAGGAACTCATACTGCAATATATGTAAGTATCCGGACATGTATGACAATTTAAGTGTGTATGCCAATGAAGGTTAGACGTAACGCACCTGCTTAGATTTTGTGTCTGTATAGCCGGTATTACTGCCCTTTGACATGGTGGCTCGCTAGCTGTATTACATGTATATATAAGTACCAAACAACCCTTGAGAATCTAAAATTAATGTTAACGATATTTAATTTTAAAGCTATCTAATGAGGATGCCCCTTCTGTATTGGTGGCAGCAAGTTCCACTCTATGATAGTTCTATTAAAAAAACTTTTTGAACACCAGAATCCTTGGTTGGTAACTCTGGTACTTATAGGCATGACTATGAGCTGATATACTATAAGATACTACTTACCAACCCAGATGGACTTCCTTGGTAATGTATGATTACTGTGTTTCCCAGCCCTAAGTCTTTGAACACATCAGTCCTTGGTTGATAACACTGGTTCTTGTAGGCATGTCTTGACTAAATTCTTATTCTTTTCTGAACTGAACAGTAACTACTGAAAGTACTACCCAGATTTTGTTACTACGTGTAGTAATATAATTATGATCACTGTTTCCCAGCCCTACCAGGTTGGTAACGGCAGTACGCGGGAGTACCGTTTGATCTGTCATGGTTACTACGCCGAGATTCTCATCATGGACGCCAACAGCCTGGAGGTGCTCTTCTCCCTCTCCTCTAAACTCTCACCTGATTGGATTAGCTGCCTCTGCATCCTCCGACCAATCAAACGGCATGGTAGGGATCATGTGATATTTATGCAATTGCATCCTTGGTCAGGAGCATTAGCCAATGAACTGACACCTGTTATGGCTTCCTACGACATCTTTATTGGTTTTCCAACCACAAACATACATTCCTGATTGGTCAGAAGCATTAGCCAATGAACTAATGTGTTCTATGGCTTCCTGATTGGTCAGGAGCATTAGCCAATGAACTGACACCTGTTATGATGGCTCCCTGATTGGTCAGGAGCATTAGCCAATGAACTGACACCTGTTATGGCTCCCTGATTGGTCAGGAGCATTAGCCAATGAACTGACACCTGTTACGGCTCCCTGATTGGTGAGAAGCATTAGCCAATGAACTAATGTGTTCTATGGCTCAATGATTGGTCAGGAGCATTAGCCAATGAAACGACACCTGTTATGGCTCCCTGATTGGTCAGGAGCATTAGCCAATGAACTGACACCTGTTATGCCTCCTGGATTCCTGTGACATTTATGCAAATGTAGTGACAGAGATACATTGGTAAAGGTTAAACAATGAGATACACAAGAAAAAAATGTTGCACATTCGTCAAGCAACTGTATAAATTTTGAAAATCTGTCCACGGCAGTTGCTTGAGTAACTGTTCTGTGGTGGCAGAGGAATCATTGAATTTAGTCAAATTTTACAAAACATCACTGTGACTATGTTTGCGTGTGTGTTTTTACAGAGGATGTAATAGTGGCTCTATCCACCAGTGGAACTCTGAAAGTGTGGACTCTTACAGGCCAGGAGACCAAGGTAATATCAAACACTACACAAGACAAGGGATGATGCTTATAATGTGGTTGATGTTGGGACCAACCATGAAATATCATTTGGGAGTTCTTAAAAGATTTGATCAAAGAAATCCGTCTGAATCAGTAGTGACAGTCAGATACGTTTCAAGGAGGTAAAAATTTGAAATAATAACTTTTGGTAACCTGTTGTTGTTTTGAAATACTGTAAGTCCATTTTTGATTACGAAATCTTTAAGTTCACGGTTTTCACGAAGACGCTCTTCTCGTGAACTCACCTCCTCGCGAACCCATTCGGTACGTACCACCCCCCTCCCCCAAACATCGTGCGTCTCAGCTCTATACTAACAACTTCTACATTACGTAGTACTAGTAAATGACAAGACTCAACGAATAACAGCAGACTTCTTTTCAGAATCAAATAAACTTTATTCAATGAGCATATGGTTCACGGAGTCATTATTTTGTTACTGGTAATACAAGTGTTTCTTGCGAAGAACGGTAAAAGTTTACAAAGCCGACTAGACAACATCAGTTTTAACAAGAACGCTAGTTCGGCGATAACGTAGCGGTGAACAGCTGTAAACATGTGCAACATCGTACATACGGAATTTTACAACATACATCGGTAAAAAGTTGTTGTCGTGTACAAGCCATCTAAAGCAGAATTATTTACGGTACGGAAAATCGGCAAAAAAAATAGAGCCAAGCGGGATAGCGTGGGTCTTTGTCTATACCTCGAGAGATCAAACTACACGAGTTCAACGTTACTCACCAAAGCTACACGCAAAAAAATCATTTCACAAGATTTCCATACATCCCAAGAAAATTTACGCTACATATACAACATTAACAGGTATCTATAGGGAAGAATTGCACGAAAATCTACCGCCGAGTAACTGCCGAGCCGATCGACAAATTACAAGAAATCCAACATGGCGGCCTTTGTTTACATAGCGCGTTGTCTAATGGTCTAAGTTTGCTTGATTTTTTTTTATTTTTTTACTTAACAACTTGTTGAATCAACATGGTTTAAAACGTTACCAAACAGCAAATTTATAGAACAGTGCGCTAAAATTTCACAACTAAAGATGATTTACGCGAGGACTGCTGTGCAGAAGTTGGCAACATTTGCGAGCCGAAAGTTCAAACATGGCGGCGGCTTTTGTTTTTACTCACGCGCCCGTCGGCTCACAGCGGCTCAGATCTCTGTGCGGTCCCATCCCCTGGCGATGTCCATGTTGTTGGCGATACTGTCCAATGCTCCCAGGACCCAGTTCGCATGGATGGGCTTCAGTCTGGACAGTGTCATGTCCACGGAACCATGTTCTAACCGCGCGTACCTCGCACGTACCTCACGCGGAAAAAAAATTCTTGACTGTCGGTAAATTTGCAGACATGTAACGCCTTGTTAAAAATTACCGACTCGCGAAGTCATAGACCTCGTGAACTTCCAAATTGCTCCATCTCGTGAAATAAAGCATTCGTGAACATAACTGGACTTACAGTAGTCCCCAGTGATTATTTATGGTTGGTCCCCAGACTGTAGCAGAATGTTTGGGTTGGTTTTTGCACCTACACTGCAATTTATGTAATGCATGTTTGTATTAAAAATATATTTTCTTGCACATAAATCGCATGATTTTGAGACACACTTTTCAGCATGCTGAGTTGTATCAGAAGTTGCCTGCACTGATACATGTACATGTACCACAAAGACAAAGTGTTCTTTAAACTCTACAAGCATGTCAGCAGAATGTACTGCACCTGTGTGAAACCTTGCACCAGAATTTTGACCATTGCAAATGATATCTAGATCTTTGTCTACACAACATTTGAAAACCATTTGAATACACTGTACATGAGTACGACCTTAAATGAGCTAAAGTGCTATGTACAATACGTTACGGATTTTGCACAGGTGCAGTATGTTCTAGATCTGCCAACGTGCTCATTTTAAATATTACATTGTAAACTGGTATGTTGCCATTGTACATTTTTCCCCACATTGTGACAGCCTTGGAGACGAAAGCTACAGATAGGAGGAGCGCACGAGAAACGTGTGAAGGTTGGAACATTACACGCTAAAAAACGTTCTCTTTCCTTTTCACTTCTGCTGCTAGCATCCATTCATGGTGGAGGGCACAGTCAACACAACTATCCTCTCTCTATAGGCCTCACCAATTTGATCTCTTGGTTCTCTGAAACTCTGAAATGCACTGGGTGGGTGAAAAGAAAACACAAAAACAGTCCTAGGCATCCTGTGATAGCTCCAGATGCTACCATAGGAGCCACAATGTCAACAATACGGCTCCCTGATTGGTCAGGAGCATGAGCCAATGAACTGACACCTGTTATGGCTCAGTGATTGGTCAGGAGCATTAGCCAATGAACTGACACCTGTTACGGCTCCCTGATTGGTCAGGAGCATTAGCCAATGAACTGACACCTGTTATGGCTCAATGATTGGTCAGGAGCATTAGCCAATGTGACTGAGACTGGTTTATAATTCGAACAATGAATTTTGAAATTTTAATCAAATTACAACATTGATAAATGGATAAACTATAACAACTAAGAAGAAAAAGACTTTCTGCAACTGTTGTTCAGAACCTGAATGGTTCCTTTTGTTACAAATCAAAAGGAAGTGATTTTAAAAAGCAGAAGAGTTCAAGAACAACTTGAAATGAAATTGGTGTGGCTTTTCATACTAACGCTAGTGTTCTAACGCTTCTTTCAATGTTCTATTCAATATATGTCTGATGTCTACTAACCTAACTCCGCCAGGTCACGCACTCTGAACCTTGACATGTACTAACCTCTGACCTTTCTAACCTCACAGCAGTCAATGTCAAATTTCTATCTGTTTCACCTCCTAATGATGTCATTGGGTCAAAGGTCACAGACTTGTATAAGCCGGGTAATGTGTCGAACTTGAAGGTCAATATGACCTTAGTAAGGCATGTTCTGGACAAGAATGGTTGACAAGTTAGGGCCTTCATCTTTGACATATTACCCACAATTCATCACTCCTTGCATGCGCAATGGGAACTATGAAACCACTTATTGCCGATACTTGTAAAAACAATGTTGATTTGATTAATATGGATGACATCCGCGCGCGCATGAATTTTTGCCTGTTTGAAAAAAAAAAATTTAAACCATACTGTAAATCGATCGTACAAAACAGTTACAAAATAAGCAAATTTATACCGTAGGTTGAAAAAAAAATTGGAAAACGATACAAATGGCATAGAATGCCAAAGTCAAACGAAAAAGACAAAAATTTAAAGAAATGATTTTGAATAATTTGCCATACCATACTCTGTGTCATTTGTTCAACCTTCATGATCACGTAGATTTCATAATGGAAACAACTTTTTTTTTTGCAAAACTTTTTTTTATTCGCACGCTCGCATCAGTTTTGGGGTTCCAAGAGGATGTCATCCATATAATCAAATCAACATGGCCTTATAAACATTTTTGTTGCATACAATGTCAGTGGAGGTTTGTTGCATGTTGATTCAACAGTTCTATCTAACCCGAGGGAGTTTTTTTTTTAGGTTATAAAAGTTTGACATGGATTCCAATGATTATAGAATTCCATGTGATATACACTATAGCAATCTAGTCATGTTGAGATGTTATTCTCATAAGTTTTTAGAATTGTCAAAGTAAGTTATTGTTTATGATATTCTCTCTTTGTACATAGAATTACTTTATTCGTCTTGCTTGTATTTTGTTGTCTTTTATATCACAGGCCTCGAAATTAACTTTTCTTACTATTGTCCCAGCACTGTCCCTATATTAATTTCAACTGTCCCGAAGTGAGGATGAACTTTCCCAACCTGTTTTTTTTTAAGTATTGTATGACTTTTGTATGGCAAAAATAGGAAATTTGAGGGGACTTTTCCGAAGCCAAAAGCCAGGATGTGTGTCTGGTGAACAAAAGAAGGGCTGACTTTCTGTGGTTGATTATTTTTTATTGTCCCCAAAATGTCCCAAAGTGTCTTTATTGTAGTTGTCCTGGCCAAAATTTTAGTGGTCAGTGGCCATCGGGACACCGTTAATTTCGAGCCCTGATATTGTACATTTTATTCCTTCAAACTGCCCAGCCAGGCCCCAAGTTGGGAATTGTGAACTCAACATAAAAGGCTAGAACATACAGCGTTCCTTGTTAAGATAAATCTCGTTAAGATTACATGATGAAGTGTGTTTTTCCTGGTTACTTGAAGGAGTCAGAGCCGATCTTTGAGACGGAGTCGAAGCCCCTTCGCTGTCTAAACGCCAAGACACTTGCCTGCTGCCAGTTTACCCAGAGAACAGTACTCATCGTGTGCAGCAGCTATTGGCAGGTAAGGAAGTAAATGTACTTGTGCCCGTAGCCAGGGGGGGTTTGGGGGTTAAAGGTCCACTTTTTGGTCCACTTTTTATCTAAAAGTCAAATAAAGATTTTTCTTTAGATGGACTGATTCGTATCACCAGCGAGGCTGGAATCGTATAAAAACTGCCTACTTTGTCATTGAATAAAAAGTTATCTCTGATTTTTTTTTCTTTGAAATCCTCTCAAAAACGCAGGGAATGCCATTTCAGAAGGTTCATTTTTCAAAATTTTCAGAGGAAGCATGCCCCCGGACCCCCCTAGGAACCTACGGCGCTCGATGGTCCCTCAAGCAGTGGGAAGAACCCCCCCATTCAAAATCCTGGCTACGGGCATGATACTTCAGTGTGAAAGTCTAATGAGTGTAGTTGGCAGGAGTTAAAACTTTTGGTCTTCCCCAGGAGACTGAGAAAATTCACTGTGCAATAGCTCAAATGGTAGAGAGCTCGCTTTGTAACTGTAAGGTCGTGAGTTCAAACCCCGGCCGGGTCATACCAAAGACTTAAAAAATGGTACACACTTCTTTCTCTGCTTAGCACTCAGCACATGTGAGATGTGTGGGAAGGTCAAACTAGCCTCCTGCTGTAGTGCCTTGCACAACTGTGTGTCGCCCAAGGGCTACGGAAATGGAGATGGGCACCACCCTACGCTCTATACATTGTATTATGAGTAGGAGTTCTGTATATCATTGTACTTCTGTATCAGAATAGTATCAATATTATGACTGTTTTGTTCAGGTGTATGATGCGGGCGACTTTTCGCTGCTGTGCTCCGTTCCTAACAAGAAAGGCGAGCCGTGGACGGGTGGAGAGTTTGTGGCAGGTGATCGGGTAATCGTGTGGAGTAAGGCAGGGCGCGGGAGCCTCTACCAACTGCCTTCATGGTGAGAACAGTTTTTTGCTTAATCATTTTTTTTTATTCCAACATTTCATGACTAGACAAGCATGGTGATGGCACACTAAAGTTATATCAACTTATTGTTTTTTTTTTATTCCAACATTTCATGACTGATCATGGCAAGGCTGTTGGTGTTTTCCAGCTGTATTCCTGACAGTGCAGACTTCAGATCAGGTGTTGGCCAGGCAGCAGCAAAAACTCCTGCTCCATTCCAGTACCTGGTCATGGAGATAGAGCCTGCAAAAATCAAAAAGGTATGACTAAGAGTGGCTGTGTTAACTCAGAGAATGTACATTGTATAAATTACTGCATGGATTATTTTTGGCAAACAGTCAGGTGCAAAACCTTTCATATGATTAAACTGAAAATGTTTAAAACTTGTACATAATTTGTCTAGTATACTAGGAAATTACTAGCCCTCTGTGACCTTTGTTACCTTAATGAAGTTGCATTATGTAGCAGGACAGATGTCTGTCACCATGGTAACTGGTGCTGTAGCAGACACCCTGTGGTGTTGGGTTACATTATGTAGCAGGACGGAGTTGGAGGGGCTGGTCACTACATTTACATTGTATATACTACAGTATCTGGAACTTTATAATGTGTTTGAGTAAAAATAAACAGAGCAATAGTTTGTTAGGCTATAGACCATGTACATGTATATGTGAAGGTAAACATTATGAATTTTGAGGAAGGTGTTGTTAATATTCCCCCTAGCTGCCTTCATTGGTACTGCAGCAGAACACTCTATTTAGATCTTTTGTTTCTTTCAGACAATAAAAGGATCTTGTTATGGCTTCACACCACCATGAAGTGGGTATAGACTATTGGAACACTTCATATTTTGGACAGGGTTGATTTAGAAACAGTACATTTGTGCGGGAGGGGGATAGGTCCATTTTTGGTAGGGGAGATTTGGTGAAGCCATCTGCTGCATTTGCTTCCGAGCAAATGTCGGCCTTTCTAGTTGCTTATTTGTTTTGTTTTAAAGTCCATTTCTTGAGAGAAATTCATCCAATTTTTCAGCCCCTGACCTGTACCCCGGCCATGAGTTTTTCCTTTGTTATATCTTCTGTTTTAGAAGATATTGTTTCTTGTTATGATAGCGGTAGCGTGTTCGACCCAGGCCCAAGAGGTCCCGGGTTCGAATCCTGCCCGGTGTCACCAATCTTGTGCCCTTGTGAAAGACACTTTACATGACTTCCCTCACTTAACTCAGGTGTAAATGAGTACCTAGCTTCGGTTAGGGCCGTCCCTCGGATAGGACGTTAAATGGAGGTCCCGTGTTTGGGAGAGCCACATCCCACGCACATTAAAGAACCCACCGCACTTATCGAAAAGAATTGGGGACCTTCCCGGTGTGAGTGGTTCAAACTTTACAGTCTGGTCTCGGGTTTGACATCTTTAAGAGGTGATATTCACCTGTTATGTCAATCCTTCCACAAATGTGGTAAATCTTCATTAAATAAAATAAAAAAATGAAATAAAATTCATCCATTTTTTCCAGCCCCTGACCTGTACCCCAGCCATGAGTTTTTCCTTCGGCCGACGCGGGTCATACCACAAGCTGCTGCTGAGGGGGGATTCCCACGGGAGGGTCACCATGTGGAAGATTCCCGACATCACAGAAAAGGAGCTGTCACGCCTCAAACAGGAGGATATAGTGGACCGACCCCCTGGTAGGAAATAATCCAATCAATTTAAACTTCATGGCTCAGTATGTTATTAATGATTAACATACTACAACTTTATTATAATATTGTAACAGTTATTATATAATTGAAATGGCTTGTAGAAACGTCAGACTTAGATTGTAGATTTAGGTAAGACAGTGTTACTAAAAACCAAAAAAAAAACAGTTACTCAAGCAACTGGATATGATTTTCTAAACAATCAGATGTTTCAGATAGCATCCACTACCTTTTGTCAGTGACACTGGAGAGTTGTCAGAAAAGCAGGTTTATAAAATACAAACTATTGATTGATATGCAAATAAGTGAAGAAAATTTTTTTGAAAGTCTAAAAGGAAACAAAAGTTGGACAAGTTGTTGATGACATACTAAAACTTTGTTATAAACACAACTTTGTTGAAATACAATTTAATGTAGCTTGTGGATGTCAGACTTTGTCTTTTGTAGAGTACTGTAGGTTAATGTATTAGGCAGTTATTAAATATTTTGTACTGAATGCATGAAATGTCTAGTAGAAGACATATCTAACACAGACAACCAGCTAATGATAAAAAAATGTTTGTCCTATTTTAAAGGCAGAGATAGAGCCGAGAGTCCATGGTTCGAATCCTGTGACTCAAATATCACTTCCACAGGTATCTGGACTATTCCAAGTGTGGCTGTACATAAAATCATGATCAATAGATCAGAAAAAATCAGTGACTTCGTTGAATGCAAAACATGCAAATTGTATGTTCAAAAAGCAACATTACTGCTTAAAAAAAATTACCAATGGAAGTGACATAATCATTTTTTTTTCTGCAATGATTCAAATAATTGCAGAGATTGAAACATTCCAGCAATTTAACAGTATAACACACATATATGAAAAAATGTACAATGTAGTAGGCCATTATCTCAAATTAAGGCATTTTTAGATGTAAAAACTTTATTAGTGATTATACCATGTCTGTGACTTTAATATGTATTGTACAAATCCCATAATCAAAGGATTTTGATTTCTTAATATTATACAATAAACAGCAATAAACAAATATAAACAATAATGTACATACTAGATGATACCAAGGCTAGAAATACTGAGTGTACACATGTATATGTACTTCTGTCCAGCCAAAATTAGAGCATGGATCATGTGTTTGTTTGTTAATTTTCAGACATGCCGCCGCAGGTGTCTGTCAGTCTGCAGGATGTCTGGGACTCCATGGAACTCAAACCTGCAGGAATCATCGACCAACTGGTACTTTTTCTTTGTTACCTCTGGGGAAGGAGACATCTTTCCGCGGAAGGGTTTTGTGAGAGATTTAGATTTTCATGTTCGCAGCTGTTTCTCGCGTTTGGGTGGACGGAATTTCTTTTGAGACTCGGTATATGTTTTGCTATTGGGCTGCAGATAATGCACGTTCTTTTGTTTTTATTGTATATGTGTTTTCGGGCGTGAAAATGGTGCCTTTTGGTGGCCCCAGAACACCCCTTTGAGCGTGAAAGTGGTCGCGACCGTTGACCTTTGGCGTGTATTAGGTATTGTCGGTCTCGTCCATGAAGGTGACTCCTCGCACAGAGGGGTGTCCGGTCTCGATAAATTCTTTGTTTAAAACCCTAGTCCTGCGGCGCGCAACAATTGTTGTTGTAAACAACATATAAAAATATACAATAAAAAGCCCGGAGGTATAAAATCTCAGATTTTACTTGTTCTCTCTTCAAACATTTTCCTTTTTTGTTTGCTTTTGCCATGTGATTATGGCAGATAAAAATACCCTAGGCCCAAATGCTGCAGCCACTCTCTCATTGGTCAAACTAATAATAGTTGCCATGCAACCATTGGTCAAACTGCTGATTGCCACACTATCATTGGTTGAACTGCAAATTGTGATGGACATACTGGTTCTTGCACTCTCATTGGTCAAACTGCTTATAGCTAACCTATCATTGGTTAAACCGCTAATTATGATGATTGGCAATGTTGTAGAATTTAGCATAACGTTAGATGCAGCTGATTAAACGTAATCTCTTCTTATCATTGTATTTTCTTTTTCATACATGTTGTTTGTACTTGTAATTACCCCTTCGGCACGTCTTTGCAATAAAATTTACACTTTAAACTTAACTCCAGAGTACGAAGCAGGACAACACCCCCCTGGCCATCACAGCGAGTCTGTACCTCCCTGCTATCTCATTGGTCAAACCGCTAATTGCTAGCCTATCATTGGTTGAAGTGCTAATTATGATTGACAGTTATGACTGGTGTGTTGTTGACTGCAGAGCACAAAACAGGACAACACCCCCCTGGCTATCACAGCTAGCCTCTACGTCCCTGCTCTCTCATTGGTCAAACCACTAATTGCTAACCTATCATTGGTTGAAGTGCTAATTATGATTGACAGTTATGACTGGTGTGTTGTTAACTCCAGAGCATGAAACAGGACAACACCCCCCTGGCTATCACAGCTAGCCTCTACGTCCTTGCTATCTCATTGGTCAAACTGCTAATTGCTAGCCTATCTTTGGTTGAAGTGCTAATTGTGATTGACAGTTATGACTGGTGTGTTGTTAACTCCAGAGTACGAAACACTCTGGACAACACTCCCCTGGCCATCACAGAGAGTCTGTACCTCCCTGCTCTCTCATTGGTCAAACCGCTAATTGCTAACCTATCATTGGTTGAAGTGCTAATTATGATTGACAGTTACTATTGACAGTTATGACTAGTGTGTTGTTGACTCCAGAGTACGAAACAGGACAACACCCCCCTGGCCATCACAGCGAGTCTGTACCTTCCTGCTCTTTCATTGGTCAAACCGCTAATTGCTAACCTATCATTGGTTGAAGTGCTAATTTTGATTGACAGTTACTATTGACAGTTATAACTTATAACTGGTGTGTTGTTGACTGCAGAGTACAAAACAGGACAACACCCCCCTGGCCATCACAGCGAGCCTGTACCTCCCTGCTGTCTCATTGGTCAAACCACTAATTGCTAACCTATCATTGGTTGAAGTGCTAATTATGATTGACAGTTATGACTGGTGTGTTGTTGACCGCAGAGCACAAAACAGGACAACACCCCCCTGGCCATCACAGCTAGTCTGTACCTCCCTGCTATCTCATTGGTCAAACCGCTAATTGCTAACCTATCATTGGTTGAAGTGCTAATTATGATTGACAGTTATGACTGGTGCGTTGTTGACTGCAGAGTACGAAGCAGGACAACACCCCCTGGCCATCACAGCGAGTCTGTACCTCCCTGCCCTCTCATTGGTTAAACCGCTAATTGCTAGCCTATCTTTAGTTGAAGTGCTAATTATGATTGACAGTTATGACTGTTGTTAACTCCAGAGCACAAAACAGGACAACACCCCCCTGGCTATCACAGCAAGTCTGTACCTCCCTGCACAAGGTCGGCTGGTGTGTGGACGTGAAGACGGCAGTATCATCATCGTACCGGCTACACAGACAGCCAAGGTACAGCTGCTACAGTGTGAACACACCAAACAGAGAGGTACGTTTGTTTGTTTGTTTGTTTGTTTTGCACAACCAGTAAATGCCTAAAAAGCTCTACCTCTTGAGAAGGTGGCTGATGGTTCAATTCAGAAAGATGAATTATGTTTACCTTTGGAGAAGGAAAACAAAAAAGTTTTTGCTCAGTTTCTTCTTCCTTATGATCCAAACTAAGTCAATGACCTGGACCAGCTGTCTGTCACCATGGTAACTGTTTCTGTAGCAGACACCCTGTGGTGTTGGGTTACATTATGTAGAATAACAGAGCTGGGAGGTATATGAATATGAATGTGTTTGATTGAGATTAAGCAGAGCAGTAGTTTGTTAGGCTGGACCATGTGGAGGTAAACATTCTGCACTTTCTTTGCAAAATTTACATTCTAGTTGATTGTTTTATTGTTCTGCCTAGGTTGGCCCCCACACCGTATCCTAAGAGGTCACAAGGGCAAGGTAACCTGCCTGGTGTACCCTCACCAAGAATCACTGCGCTACGACCCTCAGTACCTGGTGTCAGGCGGCGTGGATTTCGCTGTCTTACTCTGGGACTTGTTCAGCGGGCAGCTTCTGCACACATTCTCTGTACATGGTGGGGAAATCACCCAACTGGTCTGTCCACCTGATAACTGTAACGTAAGTCTATCATGAAAGTTCATCTGTGTTGGTAGTTACATGTTTAAAGTTAAAACTTTTGATCCAACACAAAGAAGTTCTCTCACCTAGAGCTTTTGACCAGTTACTCTGGTCTTCCTCAGTAGACTGACCCAGTGAGGCTTGTCACGTGGCTTCTTTGAAGTGTGGCGTCAACACTGGGTCAAAGGTATCTGGTAGACGATGTCAGCCCCCCAGATACCTTTGACCCAGTGTTGACGTCACACTTCAAAGAAGCTACGTGACAAGCTTGTCTAAGCGTGTCTACTGAGGAAGACCAGAGTGACTGGTCGAAAGCTCTGGTGAGAGAATTTTTTGTGTTGGACCAAAAGTTTTAACTTTAAACATGTAAGTCTATATATTATAGTCTGTTGAGTTTCATTCAGAGTTCATGTAGAAAAAGAACAGTTGTGTTTCAAAAATCTCAGAAATAACATTTTAAAAGGTTTGAATTTCAGATGTTAGTTAAAAATTTCGATGGACTTGACTGAAAGAAATGGTAGGGTCAGTGGGTTTTTGCAGGGTGAGTCAAGAAACCAGACACACGATAATTTTTTTCCCAGGCCTAAAGGGCTATGGCAACTTTTTATATTTGGGGAATAGTCCCAGTTCTAAAAATACTATTAGTTTTACTATTTGTTATACGATTTGTCACCAATCATTTGTAGTGTTGAATGATAAAGAATAATAAGCCAGTTCACACTTTAAAGGAGTACTAACCTCCAGAAGGAAGTGCTGTTTTCCGATACATCATGCTGCAATGAATACATAACTAGCCGACTTTTTACATAATTTCGCTTGTACGAGTTGCGCGGCGCATGTTTGTAAATTGATATTAATATCATTTTTCCCCATGCTGAACCACAATTGATACATCCAGGAACTCTGGCTTACGCAATACTCATACACTTTAGGTCAACATAAACATTTTTCGGCAAAAATGGTAGGAGACAAGCACACTAAGAAGCTGAATATTGAGAAATTACTTGCTTTACTTTGCTTGACCTGCGGTTTGGATACTATAATATCAGGATATGCAGTGGGCGCTAGTTGCATCCTGCGTGTTTTGATTTTCTCAACTTATTTGCATGTAAGTATTACTTGAACAGATAATTAGATTACGCCACTTATGGAAAGTATAACTAGATTACGCCGTTTTTTTCATCGTCAATATTTGGGGCATAAATGAGGGGCGATAGGACACCAAGAAGGACAATGGTTGGTAAGATACCAAAGAACACAAAACGGTACAAATTTTTCTTATCGCCCCCGAAATGAGGTCTGTAACGTAACTTTTGTTTAAAACATAGACACCAATGGGGTAGCGTGGTGTATTCTGGGATAGTTTTGAGGGTATTTGGAGAGTTTGTCCTGGATTCGATGCGTTTTAAGACTTGCGCGCAAAATGGACATTTAATTGTATACTGTAAAATAATAAAATTATGCATTTTTCACTTCCAAAAATAAATGCCTGACGAAATATAGCACCTCCTTCTGGAGGTTAGTACTCCTTTAAACTGCACAATCAAAATAAAAACTTTGTAACTTTTCTTATTCTTTTCTATACCATGCTTGATACATGTCCAGATATGTACAATGTATATATAGCTTTCAACTTTGACACATCACACTGCACATGTGCAGTGCAAACTGTGAGCCAGCTTATTACAGTTTATATTCTATATATTCTATATATAGTGCCTGTTTCCCATATACTTTGATGCATGACTTTCGTGACTGTTTCATTTTTTTTGTACCATCCACAGTTAGAAGACCAGTACCCTACTGGAACCCCAGTGGTATGATGGTTATTTTTCATGTTTTGTTCTTTAAATTTCTTTTTCCCCCCTTTTTTCCTCTTCAGACCTTTTAACCTCCATATATTCTCTTCTTCTTGATACAGCAATGTCACATGCCTTTTCAGTTCTTAATACTTTGCATTTCAGTTTATTAGTGCTAAGAGTGCTTGCAATGCTTATACATTGTATATTTTACAATATGCAGTGCCTTTTTGAAGCTGTATACAATGTATTTGTAGTAAAGTGCATAACTGTTGTGACTAACATTATGCAAAGCTATTCTAACCAGTGCCGTAAAGTTATACAAGCGGGAAGAGGTGTATTGGTTGCACCTAGCCTTATTATGTTGTATATAATGTGGCAGAAAATGCAGGTTAAATGTTTTCTTTATATGTGGTTTGTTATATGCCAGTTTTTTACCATTTGACCAAGTGTTGTATACTTAAAAACCCTTACTGTGCTAACAAAAAGTCACTTTAAATGTGTTTTCTTCAAGATGCAAATACATTTCTTTTCTGGATGGGACTATGATCTTGACTAGTCCTGTTTACAGAAAAAGAACAACCTGGTCATTTCAACAGCTGGGCAGTAATACCGCAACATTCTTGGTAGACAAGTTGCCATAAAGGAATACATGTACAATGGGCTGAATTTTGTTTTTCTTTGTGAGATTCTGGGCCTCAAGTCAACAATTACATGTATTCAAAATAGCCATAACATAACCTGCACCAGAGAAGATATAGTATTACGTGTATCACGTTGCTGGCAAAATAAAAATTAATGGAAACAAGAATTTCACTTCTTTATGTAGCATTTGCCAGATGATAGCATTAAAGAATTACTCAAACATGACTGCACTGGTGCAGGTAGATATCAGAAATATGTAGTGTACAGTACAGCTCAAAGTTTAAAACTATCTAGACGAAAGGTAGCGGATGCTACCTGAAACGTCTGACCGTTTCCAAAATCATATCCAGTTGCTTGAGTAACTGTTTTTTGGCATATCTTATTACCTTCACCGACGTAGCTCCAATTTTATCTCTGGCTTTCTGCCCTCCCCCCAGGCACGCGTGCTCCAGTCGGTGTGTTCGGTGGCCACAGACCACTCGGTGTCCCTCCTGAGTCTGCGGGAGAGGAAGGCCCTCCTATTGGCCGGACGTCACCTGTTCCCTGTACAGGTCATCAAGTGGCGACCTGCAGATGACTTTCTGGTGGTGGGATGTCTGGATAACACTGTCTACGTCTGGCAGATGGAAACAGGTTTGTGGCAACAGCCATTTTTTTATGTTTGCTATTATGTAGCAAGTGGCAGGACAGGGCTGGATCAACAATGTGCTGACTTCCTAGTGGTGGGATGTCTGGATAACACCGTCTATGTCTGGCAGATGGAAACAGGTTAGTTTTTTGTATGTGGTGTCGGTTAACAGTATGTAGCAAGTGGAAGGAGGGGCTGGTCAACAGTAGTTTGTTAGGCTAGACTATGTGCTGACTTCCTGGTGGTCAGCTGTCTGGATAATACTGTCTACGTCTGGCAGATGGAAACAGGTTAGTTACAATATTTACAATAAGGTTTTTTAGGGGCTAAAGCATTTTAAACATATGAAATGCAACAGTACTGTTACATTTCAACAAATGTACATGTAGACCAGCATGGTGAAAAAAAGGAGATAATATTATTTAAAAAAAGACAGAGAACAGGCTCATCAGATGTTAACTCAGTCAAAAAGCCTGACACTCTTCTGTGGAATGTGGCATCGACCATTTCAAATAGCAACGACTATATACAAGACAGAAATTTTTACCTTTTTTTGCAGAATGAAACTTATTGTTTCTGCTCTGTTTCTTCTTCTTCAAACACATGAGGTCAATGACCTGGGTCAGACATCTGTCACCATGGTAACTGGTGCTGTAGCAGACACCCCATGGTGTTGGGTTACATTATATGTAGCAAGTGGCCGGACAGAGTTGAAGGGGCTGGTCACCATGTATATGAATGTGTTTGAGTAAGAATAAACAGAGCAGTAGTTTGTTAGGCTAGACCATGTGAAACATTATGCATTTGCGCTTTCTAGTTTTTTTTTAGTCTTTATTTTATTTGGTTCTTGTGTGGTCTCCTTGCAGCCAAGGGCTGAATCGCAGGTTTCTGCTGAAGCAGCCACCATTTGATGCTAACTTAGGTGACCTCAATACATATTGATAATGTCATTTCTTACCTGTTGGAAACATTTAACTGAGGAATTAATTTCAAAATTTATTTCAGGCCACCTGGACCGTGTGGAAAGCGGCAGTGTTGCGCAGGACATCCTAAACGCCTGCGATGAGACTATCCTCCCCAGCGAGAGCACCACCACGCTCGCACAGGCACTCAAACGCAGGAGCCTGGCCGCCTTCAAAAACGTCGCTCAGGTCTGTTGGAGTGTTGATTGCTGTTCAGTTTTGCTGTGAATTAACAACACCAAGGACAGTGCTGCCATTGGTTTTCTTTATTTTTGTATTTCAGTCCATACCACATATTTATTTATTTGAGAATGGTCCAGTTTTGCACTGGGGTAAATTTGGAATAGTCCACTTTTGCGAGTGAGGGAGATGGACTGAAATATGCTGTATTTGCTCCCAAGCAAATACACCATCATTATTGTAAATGTTCATTTAGTATAATTTAGGAACAGTGGTGACAGTGTGAATGGAATTCAGCACCAAGGACAGCCTTTTTGTTGCTTAAAAATTGACAGTAAAATATTTGGAGTATGAATCTTATAGCTTTCTCAAAGGCAAACAACTTTATGTATTTATGACAATAAATGTTTGTACTCATTGACCATATTTTTGTTTGTTTGTTTGTTTGTTTACAGAGAGCTGCCTTCCAGGTTCTACAGACATCCACAGCCAGCCAATCCCAAGCCGAGGTTTCCAAGTCCCAGAACTTCGCTCTGTCAATCACTCCAATGCGGACCAATCCAAAGGACTCTGACTTCCACGTCTTGTTCTTTGATACGGAGGCTCTCATTGTCCAACTCCTGACAGATGAAACCCTAGGTTTATCCTCTCCGGTTACTCCCGAACCCAGCAAGCAAAAGGACCAATCCGAATCACCCTCCTCCAAACGTCGCACTCTGTTCAGTTCTGTAGGGGAGACCATCAAAGCGCAAGTCAGCGAAACCATAAAATCACAGCTGAAGCAAGGCTCGGATTTCATCGACCTGAAAATGATGTCGGGGAGCCCGAAGAAAGAACCAACAAACGGGCAGAAGGAGAGCGTGGATTTGGAGTACAAGTCCAAACGCTCAAAGAACTTAACGCTACTTGAATACAACCTAACGTTAGATATTGCTCAGTTGTTAATGTCTTGTCTGCATGCGTGGGGGCTAGATCTGGAGTTGGACAAGCTTTGCCTGTTTAAACTGGGTCTCTTGAAACCGCACATTCCGGTTTCGTTTGGTCTGCTGTCTCGTGGCGGGCACATGTCGCTGATGCTCCCAACATGGTACAAGTACAGGGAGAGGGTGACTACGGGGTTGGCAGAGCCAAAAAAGACGCAGCTCGTCCCAAGCTCAGCACAGGTGGAACAGGCTGGGATTCCGCGTATAGGTTTGTTTAGAATTTCTATCAGTGATGCAAAATTGTATTGTTATACTGTAACTGTACTAATCCTAGTGGAGTTCATATTTCAACAGAGACATTAGGAATGCAAGAAAATTGTTTCCGATCATTTTCAAAGGAAACAATGACTTTGGAAAAATTTGCCTGAGTATGTAACTCGTTCCAGGTTCTAAAAGATAGGTTTTGGACGAAATTAATCATCCCACCATACATTATACATATGATTTACGGAATCCGATATTTTTTGAAAGGTCAGGAACACAATACATATGTAGCAATACAATAAAGTGTAGGATCCTAACTGTTTTCTGTCACAACTTTCAGCATTTTTGTTTCGGTCCATGGATGTCAAAATTTCAGCCTAGTATGTGGATAAATGAAGACAATGAAGACAACTTTGTTCACTAACAACTGCACAATAATTGTGGAGGAATTCGGGGGGACTTTTCCGGATCTAAAAGCCGGGACACGTGCCTGATTAACTAAGAAGGGCTGACATTTTGATGTTAATTATTTTTCTATTGTCCCAAAAATGTCCCAAAATGTTTTTATAGATGTCCCAGCCTAAATTTTAGTGGTCAGTGGCCATTGGACCACCTTTAATTTCGAGCCCTGTTTTTTGTGTAGGTTCTTCGCTGGTTCACAGTGGCCACTGGGAGATCTCCTCAGCTGTTACCACCCAGCACCTCCTGTCTGTCATCTCTGTAGCCAACACTCTCATGGGCATGACTAACGCTAGCTTCCTGGGGGAGAAAATCAACCAGGGCAAGAGAACAAGGTATGGTTTACATCAGTGAAGGTTAGACATCCAGGTAATAAGATATGCCAAAAATCAGACACCAGGGCTCGAAATACTGGATGCATGTGCACCTTAGTGCATCCAGATTTGGAGCTGTGCACCCAATTCTTTTTGTAGATATCAAATGTATAGTATGCAGAATATTCTTGGCATGTAAGTGTCAGAAAAATAATAAAATCTTTGTTGTAGTACTTGTTTAAGATTTTGAAGTTACTGGTAGCTCCCATTTCAGATTCAAGCTCAGAAGAGGAGCAGTAAGATCTGTAATTAGGTTTTGTTTTACATGTATATGGTGCACCCCCAAAAAATTTTTGTGCACCTAAGTTTTTAGGTTGGGTGCACCAGTGCACCTATTCCCAAAAAATGAATTTCGAGCCCTGGTCACTCAAGCAACTGGATATGATTTTTCAAAAATTATATACAGTTGCTTGAGTGACTGTTTTTTGGCGTAAGGTATGGTTTAAATTAACCTTCTCCCTGCTGCATAACCCTACAGATCATACAAGTTTGGTGCAGAAGGGCTACCTCAGCAGGCGGATGGTTTATAAAAACGTAAATAAATACAAAAAAGAAATCAAGCAACTTTAATTTCTCTGAGAAATCAGACATTTCAGATAGCATTTTTCATCAGTGACTAAAAATGGTTAATATTATGTAGGTGGTTGACTATGATATACAAAACAGGTTTTAAAACTTAACAGATGATTGTACATGTATATCTTTAGATATGGGCTTTTTATCCAAATGTCACTCTTTTAAGTCAGATTGATTAAAAGTTTGACATTCTTATATAAATTTCTTGAACTGCTTAGTTTAGATGTTAGCAAGTTAGCTGCTTTTTTCAGAATAAGATTATTGAGAAAAACAATTTTGAAAAGTTTTAAGTACAGACAAGAAGAGTTTCTTGACTAACTGGTGACTGGTTTCCTTTTCAGTCCACTTGTGCCCACAGTTGAGTCTATAGCTCAGGACCTCTTGGAAAAGTAGGGGACATAAAGTGTACTTCGCATGCCCCCCTCCCCACCCTCCAACCACCTGTGAATGACCATTCATTTTTAACAAACTAACCCAAAATTTTAGCAACTTCAGTTATTTCTAGCATGTTGGATTAGTTACAAACCAAAACCTAGCAGTATTCTGGAATGAGGAGTTAGGATTCAAAATTGCAAAAGTTATATTTGACTAAAATATGACAATAATTATATAATATATATATATTCATGTATATAATTGATTATTACATACATTTGTACATTTAGCATGTTGCCCTTCATTGTCTCACAGAAGATAGTAGTTTCCATGCATTTTTTTCATTTAATTAAAAAAAAAACATTTAATTTTAAAAAACATTTAATTTAAAAAAACATTTAATTTTAAAAAACATTCAATTTTAAAAATATTTAATTTTAAAAAACATTTAATTTAAAAAAACATTTAATTTTAAAAAACATTAAAAAACATTTAATTTTAAAAAACATTTCAATACTAGATAATAGCTCCAGAATCCATCCAGTACCATAACCCCATCCTTTTGGATTACTAGCTAGTTTTTCAGCTATAAATGAACTAAAGCAAGACATTAGTTACTTGAGTTCTTTCTGTAGTCTAAATCATAATCAAATCAGTGTTACAGTAGTGCTACCATGACTACAATAAGCCAATTCACAGTTCAAACTGTACATGTGCGAGTTCAGATTTGAAGGCCCCTAAAGCCTTGGTCACAACCCGCCGTACACGCTTTTTGTCCGTACGTTTTTGGGAGGCTATGTCTGCTACGTTTTTCCTGAAAACGTAGGGAAGAAGTGGCGTCGACGTACGTTACTCACACGGTTGGGCAAGGTGTAAGTGTGTGGTCTGCACGCCACGTCTGGCCGTGAGCGGTTGCGTGCATCGTTCGTTGAGCAAGTGGTAAGTGAGTTGTACGTGCTTATAACGTACGATCTCTGTGCGATTGCAACTTTACCATAAGGAGGCCCTACTCACACGTGCTTCTTCTGTACGGCACGTACGGGGCACGCGCGTCGCCCATACTCGCACGCACGGTTGGTGAATCCGTAGACCGCATGCAGAAAAAGTTCTACATGCACTTAAAGTTCTATGGCATGTCTACGTGCTCCCAAATCCATAGGATTCCGTACGGAGGCGGTACTCACCACGCACGGATACCCTACGTTTGCCCACATTTTTGCACGTAGACAGCACGCAGATGCACGTACGGGGGGTTGTGACTAAGGCTTAACTTGTGAATAGTTCTTGATGTCTAGACCATGCATGCTTGATACATGTCCAGATGTGTTCAGTTTAATTTTATTTCTCAGAGGTCTTCAACATTCTTCTATCGCTCACATTACATGTGCAGCTTGAACTGTGAATTGGCTTATACATGTATAACAGACAGTTAATTGTTGCAGTTTAAATTAAGGTACATGTAGCAAAGCTGCTACATTTCTACACCAAACATACTGAATTTAGAACAAAAGAACTTGATACAACTATTATGTAATACAGTGTCATGTAGATTGTGTATTGTCTTTAAGTTTTAACAACTGGTTTTCAAACTGAAAATAATGCATTTTAGGTTTCCCATTGTCAAAGACCTTGTTTATGCCTCTCTACACTCAGTACACACTATTCTTTCTTTTGTACTGACTTGTGTGTGTAACATGTACTAAATATAACTAATGAACCATGCTTTATGTGTGTTCAACTTTTTTCTCTGCAACTTGTTGTTATCCCCGCCTTTTCTCCTTTTCTTCCCCCGTACTTCGTTTGTTCGTCATCGCAAAGGTTCGTAGTTGACCGCAGTGAGACAGGCTGCGAACTGATGAGGTAACAGTCTCCCCTAACTAGTTAGGCCACAGCAAGTAAGTTTTATGGATGACATCAGCGTGCGCACTAATTTTTGCCTGATTTTAAGAAAAAAAAACAATAAATTTTGTTGCCTACTGACAGTGGTCAACATGCCGAAAATGGGCAAAGATGTCTGCTGCAATGCCGGAACGTGGATGGCAGATAACTATGAAGAGAGGAGACAAGACAAGGATTTAATGTTTTGTCTTTTACTTTGATTTAGTGATGTATTTAGTTCCTTTTATATATATGTATGTAATGGTGGTTGTGTATATGTGATGTTCCCACTAAACATAACCATTTTTACAATGATTGTAAACTTTTATTTTTTAAAGTAGTTTCAGTGAAAAATTCATGTACAGTTGTAATAGTTGGCAGTAAACTTCGCACAATAACACTTTTGTCATAATTTCTTGTTCAACAAGGTTTATGATCATGACAAACCTTGTTTTTTTGGCCCTATCGCATTATATTTGGAGTCTGCGGAGGATGTCATCCATAAAATTTACTTGCTGTGGCCTTAGTAAAGGTAACACTTTGCATGTGAAAGCCTAGAAAAGAACCATCAAGCATAACACATGATATATTCTAGCTTATATCCAGTGAAAACACTGAAACGCTATAATTTTGATTATAGCACATGATGTAAATGAAAGTTTGAGCCATTTGAGTACACTCTTCAGAGCGCAAAATTTACTCCTTTAGCAAATCAACACCCTTGGCATGTTATCTGTCTATTTGGCCAATTTCTATTCTTTCTAGTTGCTTCTGAAGCCTGGTAGAGATCTAGAGGCTATTTTATATAATTTATATTTACCTACAATCACTCTGTACATGTGCAAGCTACATGTAGGTGAAACCTTGAACATTTGAAATCACACAAAATCCTAACATTGCTGGAATATGTGCTTCATTGATGTCTTGCACTGTGTGTGTCTTTGTCTTATTACTTTCCTCTCTCCCTCTTCTCTATCTTCTATCCCCCATTGTGGACGTCCTTCAGCATTGTGCTAGAGAGTGAGAGAGTCAGGTACGCCTGTAGTGTGTAGAAAAAAGTAGAAACCTCAAGCCTCATACATGTATAGTTCCACCAGTTCTAGATTTTAATGTTAGGGGTAACTGAAAACAGGTCTGTTAGGCCTAGCAAAAAAAATGTTGTGTTTCCTGTTTCAGTCCTGAAAAAAGTAGGGTCAGTAGGTAGGGATTTTCTTCTTTTTTTTCTTGTCTTTTAGACATTAGCAATCTCTAGTGATCCAACTTATAAAATGTTTAACAATTTGAAAGTAAAACTTGCGTGAGGACATAAATATCTTATATTTTCAATGTCAATGTTGCAATTGGCAAACCGATTGTACGTTTTATCACTCAGATGTCAGATCATGGACCTAGAAAAGGTCGATAAGCTACACAAATTTCAAAAAGGCTAGTGTTGGCGTTTTTTTTCTAGGGTCGGTCGGGAAACAGGAAACACAACATTTTTTTCATAGGCCTTACCTGAGTTTATTTTCCCTGTAAATACAATATATTATTAAATGAAATAATATCAAAGTACCCTAAGTAAAAAAATAACTTAATATCAGTGCATAATCTCAAGTTTATGAATGCCTAGAACACCAGTCCTGGATATACATGTAGATATTATCTTTAAGTTATTAATGCTGATCATGAATCCAGTAGGTCACTTTAGTTTTTGCCTGCTTGTACAGAGGTTATGTTTTCAATGCATCTGTCTGTTTGCATGTGTTTCTATTATGTATGCACACAGGGACACTGAAACTAGGAAGATATGTCAAAGCTCCCAGCTTCTAGCAGAATAGCTTGCTAATGGCTAGCTTGAAGTTGTCTCCAAGCAGGCCTTTTGGTGGCTCCAAAGACAGTATCAAACTGGAAAGGCAGTATTCATTTTTCAGAATGCTGAAGATACAAAATTAATGTACACCTGTATACCATACCTGTTTGACTAGCATAAAAAAGATATCAGTAGAAAAAAGAAAACCTGATAAAAGTGATTAAAAGCATGCCAAAAATAAGCTGAAACCTAAACCTTAGCCTCCGTAGCATGCCAAAAACTGGGGGTTTTGGTGGTCTCCAGGGTCTTTGGGAGCTTTTATGTGCTATTTTCTGATAGCATATACATAGACAACATAGCCGGCCTGGTTGAATTACCCGTTTTTAGAACTGGGCTAATCAGAAAACAGCGGAAGACCACCATGCAAACCCCTAGTTCTATAAGCCTGCTACGGAGGCTACGTACATTGTACCTAAACATCTGCTTGGAGAGTAAGATTGAAGTGGATCGAACTAAAACTCAGATTTTCCCCTATGGTTTGTTGCTGTCTGTCCAGGAGAATTAAGCAGGTTGGTGTGCAGGGCCTGATTGTGGGAGAAGTGAGCACAGACTCTGATGGTACCGACTCAGAGGCTGAGGGAAGCATGCCTCCATCTATACAACAGGTATATAACAGCTACTACATGTACTCTTTACAATTCACACTCAGTTAAACTGTACATGTCAGGGATCTAGCCAGGCAGGGCTTAAAATCAAAGGTGGTCCAATGGCCACTGACCACTAAAATTTAGGCTGAGACAACTAAAAAGACACTTTGGGACATTTTTAGAACAGTAGAAAAATAATCAACATCAGGATGTCAGCCCTTCTTTGTTTATCAGGCACAGGTCCTGGCTTTGGATCTGGAAAAGTCCCGCTGAATTTCCTGTCTACTCTGCAATTATAGTGTGCCTGGGAGTGAACATGGGTAAAATAAATAAGTTGAAGTCATACAATACTTGCCAAAAACACACAGTGAAAAAAAAACAGGTTGGGACAGTTCATCCTCACTTCGGGACAATTGACATGTATTTTTGGGACAGTGCTGGGACAGTAGGAATAAAAGTTAATTTCGAGGCCTGCAAGGGCCCATTTTCCATCAATTGCTGGAACTTTGCAGCATGTGACGGAAATTTCTTTGAGCCAATCCGTCTACCTTGATAGTCAAAACTGACTAGGATCTTGCGTAAAAATATAAAAAGATCCAAAGAACCACTGACAACCACTCTCAACCTCATGATTTGCCTCTCAAAATGTGGGAAATTTTGAAGGCTTGAAAATCCCAAATTTTCCGGGGGAGTGTGCCCACAGGTAGATCCCTCTAGATTGCAAGCGCCTTTGGCACTCCTCCCTCCAAAGCCAATCATGAACCTTTTTTTTTTTAACAGAGTGTTTCAATGCATGGCCTATGCGACCACTTCTCGGCATTGAACTAGAAATATGAGAGAAACATAGCTATGTCAAGAGATGGCGGTGAACATTTGATTTGAAAGCCTGTAGATTGCAGGTTGGTGGGAAACACTTGTCAGGGAGGGAATTCCAAAGCTTGGCCGTAGGGGGAAAGAAACTGTCACAGTGACTGTAAAAAGATTTCGAACAAGGAATTTGGACGGTGAAGTTGTGTGAGCTAGTGGAGAACCTAGTGGAACGCTTAAAAGTTCTGAGTGGTGGAACTAGTTGGGTGAGTTCTGCAGAGCAATGACCATGAAAATATCTGTAAAAGAGGGATAGAGAAAGGGGGTCTAACTTGGAGGCCAGAGGATGGCCTATGGCCGCGCAGATCTAGATTCTCTTTTGTATGCGATCAAGAAGGTGCAGGCAATCGATTCGGGCACCAGACTGAAAAATAAAAATTTCAAGCTGGCTAGAGCCCTGGTACAGGTACAGTTAATCTCTATTAATAGCTTCACTGTTCATCTGTGTTGGTTGGTAGAATTCAGCGGACGAAGAAAGACATTTTACTTATCACTATTATAGTAGAGGGAGTTCTCTAGTGGACAATTGAGATCTCATCACAAAGGACAAGACCAAAAGAGAGCTGGAAGAGATCTGTCCCCATTAGAAGAGACTCCAAAGAGAACTGCTTAGATTCCAGGTTGTACCCCCCCTCAGATGTAATCTATTGTTTTGAACAATAGATAATTAAATGGGGATTAGCATCTAACCCTAACAATGACATAAAAACAACAACATGGCAGCCATGTTTTAACAGGTGATTTTGAAAGAGACTTTTCAAACAATGGAAAATTATGAAAGAAAACAGTTTCGAAAAAGAGACTTGTAAGAGCTTGCAAGAGATCTGAGATAGAAGTTGGGAGAACAATGCCTAATCCAAAGAGAACTGCTGACTCAATTGTCCGCTAGAGTACTCAAAGAGTTTTATCCCTCAGTAGTATATTGCAAACACAAAGGCTTGAAACTTGTTTTTTTCTAGGATTGAATGTAACAGTTCCATAACATTACTCTTATACAGAAGATCAACTTAAAAAAAGACAGAAAAAGAAAAAAAGTTTTATTAACTGTTGTGAATTTACATGTAATACATGACATTGTGCACTATAATTATTTTCATATCTTATTCCTATGTATGATTTTCCCTGTTTGGTGCATGTTTAACAGACTAGCCATTTCACTTTATTTTATTTGTCCAACAGTCACAATGTTCCTCCTGTATACATGAATGGCTACAGGCCTTCCAACATTTTCAACTCAGTGACAACCAAGAAGTCAAAGAGGTTTTATGCTATTAAAATCTCCCACATTCTTTGTTAATTTTCACTTTTGTTCCTTAGCCTGGTATCCATCTTGCTCTAGCTCAGGTTTGCCCCTTTGATTTCTTCTCCTTTTGAATACTCACAGGGCTTGAAATTCATTTTTGGGAATAGTCATGTGCACCCAACCTAAAAAATTAGGTGCACACAAATTTTTTTGGGTGCACCATATAAAACAAAACTTAATTACAGATCTTACTGCTCCTCTTCTGAGGTTGAATCTGAAATGGGAACTTCAAAATCTACTACAACAACGAAGATTTATTTTTTTCTGACACTACATGTAGTACTTTGATGCCAAGAATATATATAGAATACAGCACGGGGTATTCCGTATCGCCCGAGGTATCGACCCGACCGCGGGTCAGATCGCCCGACGGCCACTCGCGGGAGGGCCGGGACCGAGGGCGATGCGGAATACACCGTGTTGTATTTTATTTATATCATACCCACCCAAGAAAACACGCCTTTCAATGCAAGATGAGCCAAAAGTTGGTGCCACTAAACCCTCAAATGCAACAACATCAATTCCAACGTCCGGATTCTGTATTCGAATTTTCGAAAGGGGCACACGCGGGTAGGGCGAAACGCGTTCGAATCATTTTAAGGAAGGCATGGAAGCGTTCGATAACGGGTTCCGGACCGGGCCGTACCGTAAAGTGCGGCCCGGTCCGGAACCCGTTATCCATCTTGCTCTGGCTCAGGTTTGCCCCTTTGATTTCTCCCCTAATGTTCGATAACGGGTTCCGGTACTACGGTACAGCCCGGTCCAGAACCCGTTATCGAACATTATCGCGGCCCGGGTATGATATAAGGTGTATTATACTATAATACATTTCATACTGTATGTACAAAATACCTACAAAAATATTTGGGTGCACCAGTGCACCCACATAAAAAGAAATGGGTGCACAGCTCCAATTTCACATGCATCCAGTATTTCAAGCTCTGCTCCAGTACTGTTATCATTTATTAAACATTTGGCCAAACTGATCGAGCTAGATCGAATAAGATGGATACCAGGCTATAGTTATTCCTTTCTTCAGGATGGGTGAAGGGCTAATGGTCAGACCTTGCTAAGGTTTCTTCAAAATAACCTCACTGACTTCTGTTATTATATCAAACTGCACTGGCAAATTACTAACATGGACATGCACATACGTATTACATACTATGTACAATGTTCCTACCATTATCAATTTATTATAATGATGATGAAAGATTCTTTCTAACTCAAATTTGTGTGGAATACTTAAAATGACAAATCAATTATTAATAATAACTTTTTGTGATTTTCTCAATGATCCTTAAATTTATAATTATTGTATCTTTTATGTTTGTCAAAAATCAAAAGACCCATTTTCTAGTCAATAGACAGTTTGCAAAAAAAAGTGCCAATAACAATTAATTATTGTAAGCTAAAGTAGCCTGGTTACAATGTGTCAAACCTCTTTTAGCCACCAAGTCTCTTTTGTCTTCTCTTTTAGGCCATGTTGATTTGATTATATGGATGACATCCTCTGGGAACCCCAAAACTGATGCGAGCGTGCGAATAAAATAAAAAAAAATTGCCAAAAAAAACATTACTGACTGTTGCTTTCATTATGAAATCTATGTGGTCATGAAGGTTGAACAAATGACACAGAGTATGGTTTGGCGAATAATCAACTCTTCAAATTCATTTCTTTACATTTTTGTCTTTTTTTGTTTGATTTTGGCATTCTATGACATTGGTATCATTTTTAAATATTCTTTTTGCAATTTACGGTATATATTTGCTCATTTTGCAACAGTTTTGTACGATTTACATTATGGTTGAAAACTTTTGGAAACAACTGAAAATTCATGCGTGCACGGATGTCATCCATTGAATCAAATCAACATGGCCTTATTTGTATAGAGGACAAAGGAGACTCAGCACCTATAATAGGCTTGGAAACCAGACTAAGCTACAGATGACACTTGAAGATTTGACAAAGTGTTTGTTTGTTTGTTTATGAGTGTTGTTGTTTCCAGGCTCAGATAAAACAAGGCTGGAGTCTGCTGGCTGCACTCCACTGTGTGTTACTGCCGGACCTGCTGGGTAAGGAGCGCTTCCAGCCGCCACAGCTGCAGATGTTAGCCAGGCGCTGGCAGGACAGGTGTCTGGAGGTGAGTTATTGTTAGTTACTGCTGGGTAAGGAGCGTTTCCAGCCGCCGCAGCTGCAGATGTTAGCCAGGCGCTGGCAGGACAGGTGTCTGGAGGTGAGTTATTGTTAGTTACTGCTAAGATCTAGAAATGATTAGATTCTGGGCTCCCTGGAGGCTTTTGTTGGTACTGCAGCAGAACCGGTTTTGATATCTCATGATCTGGACATGCTAGGGTCACCGATTTTTTTATGGTAGATAGCTCTTGGGCTAAGGAAGAAGTGACATGAATTTGGGCCCCCTAGCGTAACATGTCGACTTTTCTCAGACCGTGAACTTTTGCTACCGTGAACATAATTTATAAAATTGAATTACTGTAGTTGTTACTTGATAGAACATTTTTTTTCCTGTTTGGTTGTTTTTAAGGTGCGTGAGGCAGCCCAGGCCCTGATGTTGGCAGAGCTGCAGCGAATCGGACCAGAGGGTCGGAAGGAAGTCATCGACTCCTGGGCACCGCATCTTCCAAACTACGTTGACCCTCAGACCTCCCAGTCTCCAGAAACACAGCCATCATCTGCCTCCTCTCCTAAAGACAAGGCTGAAGCCACCACAGAACCACCCAAGGAGGAGGAAACAGACCATCTTCAGGAGGAAGACCTGATCTCTGGTATTCAAATGAAAGCTCATCTGTGTTGGTAGAATCCATGATAGTAAAGTTCAATCTTTGTTCCAACACAAGAAGGGAACTCACCATCAACTTTTGGTCGATCTCGTCAAACTTTGTAAGATGTGTGATCATCTTGCTGACTCTCCGGAAGTCAGAAACGTGATGACGTGATCAGGAGAGTCAGCAAGTGCATCACACATGCATCTGGCAAAGTTTGACGAGATTGACCAAAAATCGATGGTGAGTTCCCTTCTTGTGTTGGAACAAAGCTTGAACTTTACAACTCATCTCTGGTAGTTTATCTTGGCCAGTATTGTTGCTTGTTGGAATCTGCACTTGATGAGTGTGCTTGGTATGGTCACTTTGTCCTTGGTTGTCGTACAATTTTGATGTTGTAGGATTTGCAAGTAACTGCAGACAAGGATGTAAGACAGCCTTTTCCTAACAAGAATTTTTCAGGACACTAACCAACTATGCCAAGAATGTCTTCAGTTTGAGATTGTATGGCGGATTGACTATGTGATCAAAAGAGAAAAAGAATGCATGCACGCAATGTTATTGTATAGCATATAAGTGTCTTGTTCTTGTCATACAATGTATGTGAAGTGTCTACTGTGTATTCCTGTCTGTGTCCTCTTCCTTTGCATGTTCCTATCTATTTAAGCTGTCTTCATATTTTTTTTGGAGGAATATCTAGAAATTGCATGCAGTCAAACCTTCAGTGGATATTGCATGCCAGACTAGCATGTTTATAGACGGAGACAAAAAAACACCCCTCCGAGTGTTGCCCATTGGGCTCACCCAAGGCCTGTTAGTTGACAGTTTGGGCTGTACCACTGCTGTTTCAGGGTGTGCGCCCAGTTTAATGGAGGATGAAGTGTCGCAGGAATCCTCTCCTGTTGGCAGAAATTGCTCTCCTGGTATGTTAGACTTCTTTAACAAGCTCAGACAGGGCTCGAAATAAGCACGTCGGCAGAACGTACTGCGCCTGCGCAGAACCCCGTATTTTCGCGTTTTTCGTTGGGTTTTTGGTCAACGTTGCATCAAAATTTTGCCTGTTGCAGAAGATATCTTTTCCGACATAACATTTGGAAACTACAGACGGAGTGTTGACCTTACATATATATATATATGCGCGAATACAACCTTATATGAGACGTTCTGCCGAAGTGCTATGTGCAATACATTACGGGTTTCACGCAGGTGCAGTACGTTCTGCCGACGTGCTCTCGAAATACAACCAGGTTTGGCATCCAATGCAATTTCAGGGCAGCAAAACTGGAAATATTCTGAATAAGGCAATCTGTATGATATTGACACATACTGCTCAACATTAGCACATTTGAAGCAGTATTTCATAATTTAGGCATTTAAAACTGCAGAGTCAAGCCCCAAGATTAGTCCTTTATTTTATGGGTGTTACCCTAAAAACAGTCCAGGTCCTTTCAGTAACTGTATTTTGTCAGAATTTTGGGCATTTCGGATATTCATTGGCACAGTGTTGTTTTAACTTAAAGTTTAACTATGTACTAGATACTACTAGAATATTGACTTTGAAAAATGTGGTTTCTAAGCCCTAAAAACTGCACTATGGATGCCTTTGATGCCCACCCTAGTGATCATAATGATCATTCTGGCATACTCATTTTCACCTCAGTGAAGTGGGGAAAGTCGTGTAAAGTGCAAATTTGAAGCATTGTAGATAATTTTTGCCTGGTTCAGGTAATTTTAATGTAGGTTGAAAGAAAACAATCTTTCGAGCCCTGTCCTAGCTACAGTCTTGTCATCCACACCTTTTTCTTCTTCATTTACAAACCAACCCTCCGCTTCATAGAACTACTTGACTATGTGATTTCTTCTTTTTCTATATAACATGTATATCTTCTTTCTAGTTCTTCAATCTTTTGCTTCAAAATTCTGTCGTGTGTATACCTTATATGTTTTTATGTACTACATGTATATGGATCATCGTCAGTGTATAATCAAATTTTGCTTGTCATTTTCTTGTTGTTACACCAGTCCTATAGAGGAAAAGAGCCTGTGTGTCTGACAATGTGATGTTTTAAAGTCTTTTGTCCTTTGTGTCCTTTGAATGAGTTTTCTTTGTTGTACATTGTACTCTGTTGATTGAAAAACTTTGTTTTTACTGCATGTATACAGGGGGCTACTCTCCAAGCAGAGGTCAGTGGGGAACAGTCTGCCTTTAAAATGTTTGTTTCATGGCTCCAACCACCCCCTTTTCTTCCAGAAATGGCGTATCCCACCCAGAAGAAAGCCTCCATGCCCTTTGAAGCACGGCGTAACCAGGCCACTGCCATTGTGATGCTGGGGGTGATAGGTCAGTGTTAGAAAAACCCATCTACAGTCAGCATGTTGCAGTGGCATTTTCAACTAGAAAGTTAACATTTGCAAAGCAAATGCATAACATTAACCTTAAAAGTTTGTATAGATTGTAGGTCTGCTCTGTTACTCAAACACATTGAATTCATACATGTATATATATGGTGACAGGAGTCTAAATCCCTCCTGCTATAAACTTGCAACATGATGTAACCCAACTCTAGTTACCATGGTGACAGACGTCTGGTTCAGGTCATTGACCTTATTGGTTTGGAGAAGAAGAAGAAACAGAGCAAAAACAATTTTGTATATGTCATAGTTTAGATCTGGATTTTTAAGTGTGTATTTGCAGAAAGTATTTCTGAATTGCAGAACAATATTTTGGCATTGTGCAATATTGCAGAATACTGAAAAGAAGAATTTCTACCACTGATGAGTTAAGAGACTCTTTTTACACAACCAAGTCTTTTATTCAGCTGACGTTTCGCTGACCATCTGTCACCTTCCTCATGGCAATTCTGACTGGGAATGCATCTGTAGCAGCGACACCTCAGCTGCAATGCAATGTGAACCAGTCAGAATTGCCCTGAGGAAGGTGACAGACGGTCACTGAAACGTCAGCTGAATAAAAGACTTGGTTGTGTAAAAAGAGTCTCTTTTCTCAGTGACTTACCAACCTGATGAAAGTATAATTTACCGATATTTCTACCCCTTACCC